TATTCTTTCTCCACCCTCACCCCCTCAATTATGACTCTATTTTCCTCATCACCAGTTTTAGTGAAGCTATGTTTTAGGCTGCATTGAGGTTTAAAATTTATTTATTTATTTATTTTTTGATTTTCGAGACAGGGTTTCTCCGTAGATTTTTTTGGTTCCTGTCCTGGAACTAGCTCTTGTAGACCAGGCTGGCCTCGAACTCACAGAGATCCGCCTGCCTCTGCCTCCCGAGTGCTGGGATTAAAGGCGTGCGCCACCACCGCCTGGCTTTAAAATTTATTTTTGATCGGCTAGATGTTCTGTTTCTTCTCTCCCTACAGTTTTGTACCCACTGGCCAACCTCTTCCTAACCGCTTTCCCCCTGTCCCTCCCCAGCCTCTTGTAACTGTACCAGGCTTTACCGACCAGCTCCCAAATTATGACACAGAGACTTATTATTAGTTTTGAATGCTCGGCCTAGTTTAGGCACCTTTCTGGCTAGCTCTTTTAATTTAAATTAACCAGTTTCTCTTTATCTACTTTGCCTTGGGGCTTCTTCTCTTCTCTTCTCTTTCTTTCGTTTGTTTTTTGAGGGAGGTTTTCTCTTTGTTGCTTTGGAGCCTGTCCTGGAACTAGCTCTTGTAGACCAGGCTGGCCTCGAACTCACAGAGATCCGCCTGCCTCTGCCTCCCGAGTGCTGGGATTAAAGGTGTGCGCCACCACCACCCAGCTGCCTCAGAGCTTTTTACCTTCCTTACTTTTATATAACTTACTTTCAGTACTTCTCTATGTCTGGCTGGCAGATACCCAGCTTCTGGCCCACCGGTGTCCCTTGTTTTCTCCTCATTCTCTTGTTATTTCTTCCACCTAATAAATAGGAGCTCTCTCCTATTTATTCTTTCTGCCTGGCAGCCCCACCTATCTCTCTCCTGCCTACCTATTGGCCATTCAGTTCTTTATTAGGCAATCAGTTGCTTTGCTGTAGGCTGGCAAGGTGAAACAAATGCAATACATCGTTTCATTGTTAAACAAATGCAGCATAAACAAAAGTAACACACCTTTACACAGTTAAAGTGATATTCTGCAGCATAAACAAATGTAACACATCTTTACCTACTTAAAATAACATCCTTTTTTTTTTTTTTTTAAGACAGGGTTTCTTTATAGCTTTGGATCTTGTCCTGGAACTAGCTCTTGTAAGACCAGGCTGACCTCGATCTCACAGTGATTCTCCTGCCTCTGCCTCCCAAGTGCTGAGACTAAAGATAAAATACTATTCTACAAGTAACCATGATTCTTCATTTCTTCCTTCTCCTTCCCTTCCTTTCTTTCTTTCTTTCTTTCTTTCTTTCTTTCTTTCTTTCTGAGACAGGGTTTCTGAGTGTAGCCCTGGCTGTCTTGGAACTCTCTCTTTAGACCAGACAGGCCTTTAACTCAGAGATTTGTCTGCTTCTGTCTCCTAAGTGCTGGGATTAAAGGCATGTACCAAGGGTTCTAAGAGACTTTTTCAATTAGACTCTACATGAGTGAGATCATGCTGTATTTATCTTACAAGAAAGTAACAAATACAGTCTCTTCTAATAGTGTCACTCTGGGAGCGAGACCTTGGGGAGCTGTAGGCAGAGGCTACTTGTTTGTTTCCTGGCTGCCCAGACCCGAAATAATCACACAGAATCTGTATTAATTAAAACACTGCTTGGCCTAATAGCTCGGTCCTCTTATTAACTAACTCTTACATCTTAAATTAACCCATTCCTATTAGTTTGTATTTTACCATGCAGCTCGTGGTTTACCAGTAAGGTTCCAGGGCAGGCATCTTTCTCCTTCGGCAGCTACATGGCATCTCCTTGATTCTGCCTACTTTCTCTATCTCTGTTCGAATTTCCTGCTTTATGGCTTTATTCTGCCCTGCTATAGGCCCAAAGAAGCTTCTTTATTAACTGACCCGCCCAGCAGGTCTTAAGTTACTCCAGGGTCTTGAAGAGGCACTATCTGAAAGACATGGGGAGGGGGGAGAAATGGACGCCAAGCAGTATTCCTTGTCAAGGCATCCTGTTTATTGAGGCAAGTTTCATGTCTTAAATACTCCTCAGGGCAAGGGGGAACTGAGGAAAGGGGGAAGGGAAGGAGGGGCTCGGTAGCTAGGCAACTAAGTGGGGCAGTTTGGAAGCTAAGCAGGGCAGTTGCAAGGTCAGTGGCTAGAACACCTGCTGTAAGTGATAAGCAGCAAGCCTTGAAGACAATCTGTGGTGCTTTCCAGAGCTTGAGTCTCCACGGTCAGCACGTAATGTTTTGGCTAATTTTAAGTTTTCTTGTTTCAAGATTTTTACTTCAAGGCCCTGTGAGATGTGAGAAAGGGGAAGCCTGAAATGGCTCCTGACAATTAACTGATGGTAATAAAATGTATTCACAGCATACAGAGTGGAATCCCACATCAAGGAGCATTAAAGAAAACGAGTCTGGAGTTGACCATCACCTACTCCACCATATTTCAGATGCCACCTAAAGATAGTAAATCTAGACTCTTGTTCTATATCCATTTGACTGGTTATATAGTAGGGACACAGGATGACAGAAGGATGGTGGTGGTGTTTCCCCTGTCCAGAAGGCCCTTGTCCCAGCGTCCCATTGATAAGTGTTCCAAATCCAAATATAGAACACCAGCCGCCATGTGTTCCCAGCAAGGCATTTCAAGGAGCTCTATAGAATGCTTCTTCTGTATCCCAACCCTTCTTCTTTGGTACATGGTTCTATCTAGGTACTCAGAGAAGGCTCTGATTAGCCTAAGCAGCGTTTCTTGATCTTAGCATTGGGACATATGCTGCCACCAGTGTCTTATTCTTGCTGGCATCTCAACAAGGGCAGTATAGGGCCTTTCCCCAAGGATATAAGACTCAGCTAGCCTCTGACAGCTTCCATATGCATAGCAGTCCTCATTGGGTGAGTCCACAGCCTCTCAAGTGTGCCCAGGGCAGAGAGGTGGGCAGTCTTCCTTGTATCATCTTCTCTGGCCTATAAAATGTTTGGGTCATCATTGCCTATGAAAATAACCACAGGAGAGGAGGTGACCGGCAAGAGTGGCATTGTCACTCTCTTTACCTTTTAATTTCTTGGTATCCTGCTTTTCATTCCATCCAGAGGCCTACCTTGCTCTGAGTAAAGCACCCATCTGTAATTCTGTCACATTTCCTCGACTTTGTTTTCTTATGGATTATGGATATCTGTTATCAGTATCCCTAGGTGTTGACTGGCACACAACTCACCTGTCAATTAACACTTACACTCCAAAACAAGACCTGGTCTTCATTATCTTTGGAATCTTTATTGCTTAGAATGATACCTGGCATGTGATAGATGTGCAGTAAATGCTTGGTGAAAGAACCAGTAGAGGAGCCGGATGTTTGTGGCACACGCCTTTAATCCCAGCCCTCAGGAGGCAGAGGCAGGCCGATCTCTGTGAGTTCAAGACCGGCCTGGTCTACAGAGTGATTTCCAGGATAGGCAGGGCTACACAGAGAAACCCTGTCTTGAAAAACAAACAAACAAATAAGGAAACAACAAAACAAACAAAAAATACAAGTAGAGGGGATGAAATAGGCCCTGGAAGACTCACCTTCCATTTTGTGTCTTCTCCATTCTGAAGGGGAGAGACTCCCTTCACCACAACCCTTGGCTTCCAGTCTGTGACTGAACCCTATTCAAGCCACATCTCTTATAGACCCTGGAGCCCAAGCCACATACGTAGGCCTTAGGGAATGTGTATGGGAAATCTGGATGTGTTTTTTTCTTACTCAATGGTCTAAGAAATTAGTTTCTTTCAGCTAATTCCATACAGATTTACCCAACCCCCACGAATGTAGTACCTATACTACATTTTATACTATACTTATGGGGTATAAAAGTCAGGGGCAAAACCAAAACACACACTAGAGATCAAGACTGAGTTATGCATTCACAAGAGCACCGTCGACTCCCCTGTGACACATCTATTTATTTGAATGACATCAGAAGATGGCAGATGTTGAAGCAAGAAATGCATAGTCTTTATTCCATACTGGGGAAGTGGCATTGTTAACAGTGTTAAGTTTATTTAAAAAAAAAACATTTTTCATATTAGAATCCATTGAGTTAGAGAAGTGAGTTTTGCCAAATGCCAACTCTGCCTTAACTGGTTTCACTGGCTCCCATCTGTGGTTAGCTTTGTCCCAGTGTTTCCCATGGTGCTGTTTATATTCCCAGCTGCCAATACGGGTGAGTGACGCTCAAGCTGGCCATGGTCCCAGCTCTCCGGCCATCTATGAGTACCCGGGGAGGTGGCAGTCTCAGGCTGTGCCCTGCCTGGACCCTCGTTTGTGGCAAAGCAAGAGCAACTGGCTGTGTGGACCCCTGGGAGCCCGTGCTGCCTTTGAGCACGAATCAGCCGCCTAACTTTGGTTTGTGATGGTTGTCATCTCATTTCACGAATCCTGTTTTCTGACCCACAGCAGCCCCAAGGGTCCCCCCACCTCTGCTATCTGGGATCCTGTAACTCTTTGAAGGGTATCTCATCTGTTGCTAAGGGTCCCTGCTCCAAGCAGAGACAGTGGGTGACTGCTTCTCTGGGGCATGCAAGGCTGGCTCAGTCTCAGTCTGGTCATTCCTGGGTTCCTGAGGATCCCCTGGGAACATTTCTCCTTTCTTTTGCTGACCCTGGGAAGTCTTCTCCCCTCCCCCAATTCATTTTCTGAAGCATCAGACTCCTTGCCATGAGATGGAATAGGCAAAGTTTTCTTTTAAAAATGGTTGTTTGGCATATCTGTAACATCAACAACAACAGTATTAATGACATTGTACATTTCAGGGCTTTGCTCTGTACTTGATCTTGGAGCTTTGGGATGTAGCATTTCATCAACCGTCTGGGGCACACCCCCCCCTCCCACCCCACTCTGATGAGTCCCAAAAGAGTCTGCTATCTCCTGACCCCGCTTAGGGGGTAAGAGAGCAGATGGACTCTTCTATATAAGCACCCCCCAACACAAACATTAAGCCACACCCCTAACAGTGCAAACTGCCCCGCCTCTTCCTGTGCATGGAATGGTTCTGGTCTTAGAATCTGGCTACTCAAAAAAAAAAAAAAAAAATCTGGCTACTCTCGAGAATAAAGTTTCTAAATTTCAGTTTTAGAGAAACTTCATTCTGGGATGATTTTATGGATGGTCTTTGTGTTTGGCATCTTGTATGGTCAGGTCTGGTCATGCTTGGAAGCGGAACCTGGCCCTTCCATCCTTGGCTGACTGCGGCTGGATTCAGAGACGAACACAGGGTGAGTGGAAGAGGGAGGCGACAGGGTTCTTGTGGCCGCAGAGAAAAAGCTTCCAGCCCAGTATCTCCTTCCAGAGTTGGAGGGGGGTTGGTGATGGAATAATCATGTCCATTTGCTGGGGATGGCTGGGCTGGGGGCACAGGATGGTTGGGAGGGAACATTGGGCACATCCCAGGACACCTTTTCCAGAACTGAATTCCTGAGCTATCATGGAGACTTTGAGATTCACTCTGAGAATAGTGTATGCTAGCCACAAAGTGAACTACTATGAGCCCCGAGGCCATTTTGAATGATAAATCCTACACACCAGCTTTCTCATTCCGACTTGTCTCTATCTCCCCCTTCAATCCCACAGACCATCTTGCTACTGCCCTGCCCACGCCAAGTCTCTGGCTCCCTGTGGCCTAGCCATGTGACATTTCTTTTTTTGTAGGACTATGTCTTCACAATCCCCATTTCTTGTGGCCCCACGGGGGAGATTCCACATTGTTGCTACCACGGGCTTCTGGCTGCTCACCAAACATTCCAGACTTTTCCCTTTTTACTGGTTTTCAGTGGGTCATTTCCTGTGCTGTCAAACTCCTTACCTGACTGATACTCATGATTGGAAATACCCTCCTCTGAATGGCCCTCATTATTCTGTCATTAAGGTGTATATATATCAAGCAATTATCGCCTTTTGACCTTTTGGCTAAGACCAGAATAGCACAACAAAGCAACTGTCCACTTAACCACCGTTCTTGCCCCAGACTGTAGGATCCTTAAAGGCACAGTGTGTTTCTTTCCTACAAGAAGTAGTGTGATATAGTGGTTAAGTGAGCAAATTCTGGATTCTGACAGCCTGGGCTCAAGCCTTGGCTTCTAGAATTTATTAGTAATCAACCTTTAGGTAAGATCCTCAGTTTCTCCATCTCAGCTTACTCAACCATAAAGTAGGTTAGTAATGGCTTTACATAGAGCTGTTTTGAGAATTAAATGAACATATGCATATAAATAAATAAATATATGGGCTGCAACTGCAGTGGTATCTGAGTGTGTTGTACTGAGCACTACCTTAATCTAACTATGAACATTTTCAACGCACCCATCATAAGGTACCCTGGAACGCAAGGCACATGCATATGCTTGTCCAAAAGTGAATTCTCTATCACATCCCTTCGCCCTCCTTCCCTGTCTTCCACTTGCCTTGTGTCCATCCCTCTCTTTTCTCTCTCCCTTCTTTCAGTTTTGGGACCACCATCGGTCCTCAGAGTAGCTGAGCCCCTTAGGGGACCCTCCGAGCAGAAAGGTCCCACACTCTCCTTCCTGAGGCTCCAGCAGCGGAGGCTCTAGAGAAAGGATAGATGAGCAGAGCCTAGGGGGGTTGGTGTGAGCAGCTCAAATACTGACCGCAGGTGCTAAGTGATGAGGGCTGGGGGAAGATGTGGGAGAAGAGGAAAGGCCTTCAGGAGCTAAGTCTGAAGCTGGACAACTGTGCTTGCTAATAGCAACAAGAACTTCCTGGATGCCTGAGGCCCTGCCTCTAGAATTTCCCTAGACATGAATGAGGCAGAAGGGAAAACTGAACAAAGAGCAAAGAGAAAAGGCAGGCTGAAACGCACCTGCTTTCCTTTCGCCGATGGGTCTTTTTGCTGCCTGTCTCCTGTGTCCACTCCTTCTGGAGGGAATCTAGAGTTTGAGTCTACGCTCCAGCCCAGGCTCCTCTACCTATCCGATGGTGGTGTAAGGCAAGTGACAGAGCCTGAGAGATGCCTGGGTGTCGTTAGTTAAGAAATGGGGTTCACTGCACCAGAGAAGTCGGGGTTGGATTAAGTGGGGTTCAGACACGTGCTGGATGGCACTGTTCCTAGGCAATGAGATGGTGGCTTAGAGGACCAGATGCCAGAGGTCTGCCTGTTGGGCATCCATGAAGGCATGGCTTGTTCTTGGGCAACCCTGGTGCCTGCCCTCTGGAATTGTACCCCAATAAAACTGGCTGGAAAGAAGACTTGTGAGGGAGGGCCAAGGCCTGGGGCCTGGGGCCACTCTATAGTTCCCTCTTCCCTGCCTCATCTCAGAGGACAAGCTTCCTGGGGAGAGGCAGGAAAAGTGGCTATTTGCAAATTCAGCAGAACAGACCCAGCTTGCTCAGCAAAGTCAGTGTCAACTCCCTCAGGGTCCCTGCAGGTTCACACCCAGCCGGGGGCCTGGGTCAGATGCTGGGCAAGGGGCAGGAATTCCTCTGAACCGCAGAGTAAGACTTTCAGGGTCCAGCAGCTTATCTGGAAACAAGGAGCACATTGATTGGGCCTAGAAAGCCAGAACTATGAGAAGCTTGCTACTTGCAAGGAAGAGGGAAAAAGGAGTGAAGCCAACAGAGAAACAAAACCCACTTTCCCTTTTCTCCTTCCTCACCAGCTCAGGAAAGGGCTCTCGGTTTTGCTGACTTGAAAGAGCTAAGTACACATAAAATTCCCTCTTCCTGCCTCAGACAGGCTACTGTTTCTCTATTCTTATCCTTTTGTTTAAAACATTTTTATTAGTCTTATTTTGTCTTAAAATTTTAAACAGCTGTTTATAAAACACAACAAATACACAACACAACACAAAACTCGGTAAAAATAACACACTATATAGTACATATACTCAGACCGTGTGATATATTTATATAATAAAAGATGAAAATATTCACTTTCCATAATAAAAATAAGTTCTATTTTTTGTTTATTTTACAATATACTTAATATTCTCTCTTTTGCCTCTTCCTCTCCAGCTTGCTTTCCTTCATCCCGAATCTCAAGGAGGTTCCGTGTGGCTGTCCCCAGCCCAGTGAGCTGGAGTCTGAGAGGTGACGGGTGGGTAGGTGGCAGAGGGCTCAGGAACACGCGCGGCAGCCACATTCCAAGTGTCTCTCCACCTCTTCCACGAATGAGGAGCCGTCGGTGCACTGGAAGACGTATTTCCGCCGCTTGCTGCGGATTGGCTGGCAGCACTGGCTCCCGCACCCGCCACGGCATTCCATGATGGGCACCTTGGAGGCTGTGGCACAGGAGGCGTAATCTTTCTGACGGCGGATGGCTTCACGGACTATCTCCCCCAAACATGGATTCTCTGAAGAGGGCAGAGACTAACGTTAGGGCACTGATGGTGAAGGGTCTGGCTTGACCATGGGGTGGCTCCCTGATTGGCTATCAGGGGACACGTGATCGGAAGCCGCACATACTCATTTGCTGGTCTTCCCCCTCCCCCCCCTTCCTTCCATCCTTCCGTCTGTCTGTCCCTTTTCCCCTTTATAATGGAGAACTTCTACTGCGCCAGGCTCTACACAAGGACAGTTATTCCCCAAAGATATTCTGGTGACAGGAGTGAACTTGGTCCCCTCCATCCTCCAAGGAACTAGCAACTGGTAAAAAGTGGCTAAATCCTGTTACTAGGCAGATGCTTAGATACTAAAATTGAAAACATCTGGATTCACTTAAGGATCTGGGTTGCTGGCTTCTTTGAAACTAGGAGGTCTGTTCCCCATGTTGCCAGGGTAGGCAGCATGCTAAGAGCTCTGGATGGGGCATCAGAGCTCCAACTGGTCCCAGACTGGCCCTACCACTCCCTTAGTCCGTCTCCCTTGATCTAGAGCCTGGACTCCAAATCTGTCGACCCCAAAGTGGATCTATTTGTAATGAGAAACCAAGGCATAGAGAAGCTATTAAGGGGCTTGTTTCTATAAGAGCACGTGAAAGGCAGTTGACTTGGTCCAGGCGCCGGGAGGTTTTTGGGGAAGTGACCACACAGATGATATCTGGAAAAGATGCTAATGAGGTAACGGCCCTTCAGGATGTTTCTGGAAGTCCTAGAAACCACAGGAGAGCAGTAAAGAGGATCCCCGGGTGTGCTGGGATGTTCGCCTCTGACCCTGTTCTTCACCTCCAGCCCCTACTTCCTCCCAACACTGACAGAACATCTGGGGAACGAAAGCAGAATCGTAGCGTCATCCCTTGTCATCCTGCGCCTCAGCTTTACAGACTATCTGCCTGGAGAACCACGACACATATACCCAGCCTCCTCAATGATCCCTTTGTGAGCCACAGAGGCGACTGAAGAAAAAGCATCGGAGCTTTTTAAAGGGTTATGTATTTCAATTCGATGCACAGGTGTAGAATTCACCTTCAAAAGCTCTTTCAAACTGGGAACGGCTTTAAAGGATTCGGAAGGATCTCTAGACGAAGAGCGTGTGGGTGAGCATGCGTGCGTGTGGCGTATGAGCATGCGTTGTGTGTGGCGTATGGGCATGCGTGCGTGTGAAACGTGGGAGCACACGTATGGCAACACTAACAATGGGGTGAAGGGGATATGAGCGGTACGTATGCCATCCTGACGTGGGCCCGAGGTGAAAATTACTTCACATTTAAAACACGAACAGGTTTAGTTAATGGTGCCTATGTAGATGTGAGACGCAAGAGTCCCTGAGTGACGGGGTGTGGCTTGGAAGCTGGTGGCGGAGAGAACGCATGTGCGCCAGTCATTATGTGGAAGAGAAGCCCCTAAGTAATAGCTTCAAGCCAAGGACTTTGGCTTCTGGGTTTGTCAGGGACATTGACCCCCGGTGTTTGGCTTTCCCCAACCCCATCTCCTTCCCTTCCCTTGTCCCCTCTTCTCCCACACACATTTCTCTGTCTGGGTGTAAGGGTAAAGTGAATTCTGCAGAATGAGTGGGGAGGTACGCTGTGCTCTTCAGTTTTCTGAACTGGTTTGTGAAGAACTGTATCATGCTTCTTTAAACGTATGGTAGAAAGCATTAGCGAGCTCATGGGGTCTTGGAATTTTTTTTAAATAGTTATTTATTTATTATGTATACAATATTCTGTCTGTGTGTATGCTTGCAGGCCAGAAGAGGGCACCAGATCCCATTACAGATGGTTGTGAGCCACCATGTGGTTGCTGGGAATTGAACTCAGGACCTTTGGAAGAGCAGGCAATGCTCTTAACCTCTGAGCCATCTCTCCAGCCCCAAGGGGTCTTGGAATTTTGATTGAAGACTTCTTCCCTTCTTTCTCCTCCCTCCCCCATGTCTTTCCTTTTTTCTTTCCCTTCTCTTCTGTCTCTCTCTATGTGCCTCTCTCTCTCTCTCTCTCTCTCTCTCTCTCTCTCTCTCTGTCTACTTCTGCCTGTGACGTCAAACTCTCTCTTAGCTCCGAGTCAGTGCCAATCAAGGAGATGGGGGAGCATGAGGGTGCTCCCCCCCCATGCCCCGCACTCAAGCATTCTCCATTAGACAGTATAGGAAAAACGCTGTTGGTATTTCTTGCTGGGCCATTTTGCTTGTGCTGGCCACTCTAGGTGGCTTGTTAGCCACTTCAGGGATCTCACTCAAGAATCAACGTTGAATTCTCATCCACCACAATATTACTTAGTGTTTACAATAAATGAGTACAGTTGTTTTGGGTGGGGAATTATGACTCAGAGAGAACTGTCCGGCTCAAGGATACACAGAATTTTATTTCATGACAACAGTGTTGCTTCTGACTTGTAAGAGTCCTAACTTGGGGCCATAAAGATGGTTCAGCAGTTCAGAGTGCTTACAGCTCTTCTAGAGGACTTGAGAACTCAAGCTCAGTTCCTAGCACCCAGGCGGACCACAACCACTTGCAAGTCCAGTTCCAGGGTATCTGATGCCCTCTTCTGTCCTCTATGGGAAATGCACATACATGGCATACATTCATTCACAGACACACACACACAGAAATAATAAAAATAAATCTTTAAAAAAATCCTACTTAGATGTTTCACAAAGATAAGTCATATATTTCAGCTCTGAGCACATCCCTAGGTACCACTCTACATGGTGTATGTTCTTCTGAGAAACCCTGCAAGGTAGCAGGGTCCGTAATGACCCCGTCACCTGCTACATCTTCTATGCAGTACCCTTCTTTAGTGAATGTACCTTGGCAATATAACTGATTTAATGACCTGGAAATGACAGTACAGTTACTTCTCTGGGTCGGTCACTTAAGCCACCATGCACGGCTTCCTCCTCGCTATTTGATGGTCCATTCTGGAGAAAAATCAGCTCCGTCGACCCCTGTTTGTTTTGCACGCCCTCCATCCCACAAGAGCAGCAGACTCACCTTGCTCACAGTGGTTGCCACTGAAGCCAGGCTGGCACAGGCAGTAGGGCTCCCCTCGATCTGAGATGTGGCATTGCCCATTGTGGCACTTGAAGGCTGAGCAGGCGTTGGCAGAGTCGTTCTTGTGGTCACACAAGGCTCCCCCGTAGCCCTCTGCACACTGGCACATGTATGTGTTGCCAGTTGCCACACATTTTCCATGGTTGCAGCTGGGGGCAGAGGGAGAGGCCGAGACCAGAGTTAGTGTTGCTAGTGGCTTCCTCTGTCCTTCCACCCAGAGGACAGAGCTGTGGGACCTTGTGCTGGGTACGGTCCTCCTTCAGTCCAGCATCTAAGCACCTCTTTTCATGCAAATCCCATGTAACTGGAAGCCCATGTACCCTAGTGAATATCTACCACCAGCTCTGAGCAGACAGACGCTGATCTACTTGCTGTTTCCCACAGAGACATCAAAGTCATCTGTGTCAATTCATTACCCAACAGACTTCAAGCTTTCCGTCGACACTAAGAAATAATTATTTTTGTGTTTTTTGAAACAGGATCTCATTGTGTATGCCAGGCTGGTCTCAAATTCACAGAGATCTGCCTGTTTTTGCCTCCCAAGTGCTGGGATTAAAGACATGCATCACTGCATATGGCAAAGACAATTTTAAAACATTGTATGTTATTGATTGTGTGTATGCATGCAATCTCCAGTGCACATGTGGGCATATGGGCACACACCTAGAGGTCAGAGAACAACTTGTTACAGTAGGTTCTCTTCTACAATGTGGGTCCTGGGGCTTGAACTCAGGTTGTTAGGCTTCACAGCAAGCTCTTCTACCTACTGAGTCATTTTGTTGGTCTCTGTCAATATTCTAATCCTCCCTCAATTTAAAGAGCAAATGCTCTTACGACCATTTCTACTACTAGAGGTTGAACAACCCTCACTCAGAATGTCCCCAAATCTAAAACATTTTAACCATCAGCATGGAGTCCAAGGGGGAAATCCTACACCTGACCTCCATCAAAGGCTGTTGATAAAACACAGACGTATCGAACAAATCATACAGAACTATTAGGCCTTGTGCACGAGGGGGTCTATGAAATAGAAATAAACTCTGTATATGCACTTGGCTCCCATCCCTCAAATATCTCAGAGGTAGATGTACATAATTCAAAATGTGAAAAGATACCCCAAACGTGAAACACTTCTAGTATCAGGCATTTTGGACAGGAGACACTTAACGTGTTAGCAGATGGTACTCACCGTGTACCATGTACTTTGTGAAGCCCGTCACTCCCCACTCCGTGATAGCCCCTCCCATGAACTAGCCTGCTGTCCATCTCCCAGAGAGAAGGATGGATGAATGGTAAAGTCTGCATTTTGTAATTAAGTTTTCTGAGTTATTTATTTTATGTATATGATAGTTTTGCCTGCACATATGTATGTACACCATGTATGTGCCTGGTGCCTGTGGACACCAGAAGAGAACATTGAATCTTCTGGAACTGGAGTTACAGATGGTTGTGAGTCACCATGTAGGTGCCTGGGGCAAGTGCTCTTAACCACTAAGCCATCTCTTTTTTTTCTTTGAAAATTTAAGAAGATTTATTTATTTTTATGTATGTGGATATTTTGCCTACATACATATATGTGCGCCATGTGTGTGCCTAGCGCCCACAAAGGTCAGAAAACAGTGTGGGATTCCCCTAGAAAAGGAGTTACAGATGGCTGTGAACTGTCACATGGGGTTCTGGAAACTGAACTTGGGTTTTTGGGAAGAACCATGGAGCCATCTCTCGAGCTCCCAGCTCTTTCTTTTTAAAATATTGCTTTGACTTATTCGTCTGTTTATTTCTCTCTGTATGCACATGCCACATGGTCATGGAGGTCAGTTGGAGATAACTCGTGGGAGCTGGATCTTGCCTTCTGCTGTGTGGGTCCTGGGGACTGAACTTAGGTCAGCAGGCTGGGAGGCAAGCCGCCTCTCCAGCTCTCAAAGCCTGCATTTCCAATCATGATACATTGCTGAGTCTACTGATGACGTTCAGGTGAGGACTCATGCTAATTCCAGGGCCAGGTGCACACATCACGAATAATGGGAAGTTTAGGCCTCTATAGTACTCTTTCCTTCTTGATCAAGACTATTATTCCTCAACTTGTCCAGCCAGCCAAATTACCATTCTCAAGCCTGGTCTTATATCTTGTCAATGGCAGTTTCTAGACTACTGGGGTCTCTTGCACTGAGTACAAGGCCCTGCACGTAGTAGGCCCTCAATAAACACATGAATGAATAATGAAGGGCTGAACCATTAAACATGATTCAGATGTGCCCTGTTATGCAGACTCAGGAACTGGAATCTGTCCGTCTCCTATTTGCTGTGCTGTGTTTGGGGCTTTATGTACCTTCAGAGAGGCTTTTCTGATCACACCGGGCAGTGCGGAGTCTAGCAGTGCTTTTGCAGGTCCTAAGGGCTGTCTGGTAGAGACAGATATTTTGAGAACGTCCTCCTCATGCTAAAGCTTTGAAACCGGGCCTGCCGCTTGGATGTAGGAGCCTCGCTTCTTGGCATTTTAAACATTTGTGCTGTCCACAGTAGGACCACAATTCCCCCAGCATCCATCAGTGCTCAGTCCTTCCACGTGGGCAGGGCAGCTTGTGAGTTGAGAACCTAGTGCTCTTAGGACACTCACCTGTGACCAAGGCAGGGGTCACGCGCTTCCTGATCACACAGCGGACCGGTCCATCCTGGGTGGCACTCACACACGACATTGTCCTTCTCCACAGAGCGACACAGGCCATGTCGACACACCGTGCAGGACTTGCAGCCGGGAGAGACCCCAAGGGACTGAGGTGGGAGGGCCTTGAAATCCTGCAGTTCGTTGTTGATGCGCACTTCATGGATACAGCCGTGGAAGCCGCCCAGCGGCCTGTCTGCACCCTGGCGCAAGGCTGAGAGGCCCGTGGAGGTGGGGATGCCTGCGGGAGGAAATGGGGACAGGCTGAAGACACACCTCTGGCTTACCCCCACTCCCTTAGCCTTCAGAGTGAGAACACACACAGCACACGCTCACAGTTAGAGTTCACAGCTCTGGGCTTCTGCTGTTCAGATTGAGCTAACAGGTCAGAGACCTGGTCTTCTCACAGGGACGAGTCCTCGCTCTAGTGTCGTTAAAACTCAACTTATCACCAGGATTTACTCTCAGAAAAGAAAAAGTCCCCCAGAAGTCTGTGTTGTGAACTTTCAAAGGAGAAATGAGAGGACCTATCCCCAACTGCCACACAGTCCCATTGGCTTAACCGAGGCCTATCCGTTAGGTGTGGCGTGGGTGGAGGAACACTTGGCCACCCTGCTGTCCCCACCGGGTCGAGGTGCCCCTTACTCTCGTTCTTGTTTGAAAGCCCACAGAAAAGGAGCTGCATTTTGGGAGAGAAGATCTGGGTGGGGGAGCAGCATGCATCAGGGAAGTTCCAGGGTTCAAGGTTTCTAGGCTATTTGCTCCCCTTTGAGTCAGACTACCGGTAAAGGCATGACTCTGGTTTTGGCGACTTCTGGTCTGTGTTTTCCCTCTCCTCTTACTATTGGGCCTATGATTTAGCTGCTGTGAATGCTAAGTGTACACACAGTCCCGGGTTCGATCCCCAGCACTGCATATACTGGGCATGGCAGCACATGCCTATAATCCCAGCACTCAGTAGGTAGAGACAGTTCTATTAGAAATTCAAGGTTATCCTTGGTTACAGATGAAGTTTGAGGCTAGCCTGGGCTACATGAGACCCTGTCTCAAAAATAAAATAAAATAAAGTTTTTACTCTCCCCCTTCCATGCTAATTCTTATCTAGGCCCCCATGTTGGCTGGGGAAAGTGCCCAGTTTTTTTTTCTTTTAAACACTGCTTGGCCCATTAGTTTCCGTTTCTTATTGGCTAGCTCCTACATATCTATCTAACCCATTTCTAATAATCTGTGTAGCTCCACGAGCTGGCTTACCAGGAAAGATCTTAACCTGCGTCTGTCTGGAGTGGGAGAATCATGGCGACTCCTTGACTCAGCTTCTTTCTCCCAGCATTCTGTTCTGTTTACTCCGCCTACCTAAGGGTTGGCCTATCAAAATTTTTTTAATTATTCATTTATTCTGTATACAATATTCTGTCTACATGTATGCCTGAAGGCCATAAGAGGGCACTAGCCCTCATTACAGATGGTTGTGAGCCACCACGTGGCTGCCGGGAACCGAACCCAGGACCTTTGAAAGAGTAGGCAATGTTTCCAACCACTGAGCCATCTCCCCAGCCCTGAAAGTGCCCAGTTTTGTTGTGGCCACAGTCGAGCAGGTGCAAGGGAGGGTCTTCCTTGTGGAGAATCTGTGTCCTGAGATGGGTCAGGGCCAGGAGTACTCTGTGTCCCCTGCATCTGGATGGCCTTTCCAAAATGCAAGTCCCTGGGTCCAGGCTAGCCCGTGGCGGGGGACACCCGAGTCTTAGGACTCAGCCTTGACCAAACCACCTCAGTGGCTGTGTGAACACATGTGTCTTTAGGTACAACCCAGGGTGTAACTTGCTCTCATGAGAGTAGCATTCTACCCGTGTCCCAGTCTGAACCCCTGCGCCCACTCTGACGTTAGTTTTTCTTTTCTACATATAATTCTCCACGACCCACCAGCCTAGGGGCTTCATGTATAGCCTAGGCAGCTTGTGGTGGTTTGCCATTTTGGCCCTGGTACAAGCTTGACCTCAGTGTGGTGGTGCTTCTTTTCACGTCCAAGAGGTGGCAGGCCAGCACGGTACTGCCCTGAAGCTTAAACTGTAGCAGAGTCGGGACATCCTTTCATCTCCTCTTCCCCTCTCTGCATACCTGCTGTTCCCACAGAGGCCCCACCCTTTTCCCTTCGCCAGCATCTGTTCAGAGTCGGTCCCTGTGGCTGGGCTAGCACCTGACCACCCTTTCAGCAGCCAGTTTTGCTATCACCTCCTTCAGGAAGTCTCCTCTGACTGACCTTGGCAGTAGGGGGCAAGAAGACATTAGGGAGACCGCTGGCATCAGCTCTGGGTGTCAGTGCAGAAGCAGGAAGTCGGGAAGGTGGGAAGGGTGGGGCAAGGTGGTGATGGAGGGTGGGGGAGAGTTACCTCCAAGATAGAGGGGGCTGTTGATGCCCACTGCTGGCTGCTTCTGGAGCTTCCCCAGGCTCTTGGGGGCTCCTTTGTCTACCACCAGGTTCAAGGTCTGGTTTAGCATCACCAGCTCCACACTGTGAAACTGACCATCGTTCACCGTCTCCACGCTGCACAGGAGAGAAAGGGAAAGAGCCAGAGGTGAGGTGCGGTCCGCGGCCAGGCACGGGGCTGCAGTTTGGATTTGCACCACGTGCATTCTGCTCTAGTCTCCATTTGGAAACAACTGCAAGTTGCAAAAACAAAACAAAACCACCCCCCCCCCCAAAAAAAAAACCAGAAAAGACCTTTTGCCCAGGCTCTTCAATTACTTGCATTTGGCCCCCACTTCCACTCTTTCTCTGAGCGATGTATGGGTAAGAGATGCATGTCATGACCCTTGACCTCTAGATCCCTCGGGTGTGTCTCCTGAGGACCGGGCTGTTTTCTCACATCAGCACAGAGTCCTGTGTGAGCAGTTAATGTTCATGCCAACTCTTCCTGTGTTCAGATGAGCAGTGCCCCAGTGACGGCCCCTTGTAGCAGGTTTCTGCTACCCACACCAAGCCAGCCTAGTGGCACCGCAGTAGATCCCGGGTCCTGCTCTGGTCTTTTCAGAGGGGCCAGGCTATCCCTAACCCATCACCTCAGGCTGGTGCTGCCTGCACACCATGTGGACACTTGCTCACTGAAGATGCAGTCCCTTCAAAAGCCCCATTTCCTCCGTCAACGTCACTGAGGAGTTAGTGTTGCTCTAGGAAACATCTGGGAGACAATATTCCAGCATGGTGTGATTTTTTCCCCCCCTAGCATGTATGAAACAAACTCTCTCTTGGTTAGGATACTGGTAATTTGTCTTTGTTCTACCTAAATCGGTTGTATAGCCACCAGATTAGAGCAGGCCACATCCGAGGAAAGAGGGTCTCATGTTATGCCACGCGAGTCTATCCTTATTCCAGAACTACAGACCTGAAAGTTTAGGGAGACGGAACTGTTTACTCCCCCCCCCCCCCCCCAGCTAATATGTGTTAGAGCAGGGACTTACGATGGGTCATGTATCACTCACTTATATTATCTGATAATTCTGCGAAGTGGGTTCTAGAATACCCCAAATAACGACACTGAGTCCTAGCGAGGTTAAGTGACCTGTCTGAGGCCATCCAGTTAATACATGCCAGAGATAGGGTTTATGGGCAAAACTTCTGATTCCGAAATTCTGTTTCTTCCAGGACTCCATCCTTAGCAGGGGCTGGGAGGGAACAGTAGAAGGTGACAGGAGTCTGGAGATGTGAAAAACAGGCTCACTGCAGAGTTGCTAGATTGGTCTCAATGGTTCACGTGTGGGTGGCAGACAGGAGATTCTTACTCTCCTTGAAACCTTCTTGGGATTCCCACTGATTTTCCAGACAGCAGGGACAGTGTCAATGACTGTGGCATTTCACAGAGTGAGGGAAATGGTAGGCAGAGGACAGGTTGGCTGTGTGACCAGAGACACAGCCATTCTCCATCCTCTCATTGCTGGGGGATTCTCCTGTCCCCACCCCTCAATCTCCCTGCTGAAGTGACGGGTGTATACTACTGTGTCTGGCTTCACGGGGGATTCTAGGATCTGAACTTGGGCCTTCACTGTTACAGCAAACTCTTTGCCTACTGAGTTATCTCTCCAGCCCCTACTATATTTTTTAAAAGGTGTGCGGGGCAAGCAGACAAAGCTGTGCACGCAGCCAGGGATGGGGGGAGGTGGGGGGAAGCACTGCCTGTGGCAGAGACTTAACACCTGCAGCCTGTCTTACCCCCAAGCTCCTGCAAGCACTGTCTCCAGCCTGCTGACAGGGAGATGGGAGGTGGGGACAGGAGAATCCCCCGAAGTTCACAGATCCACTGGGCCTGGCATGTCCAGCAATACACAACCTGGAGGATTAAGACTGACACACGGGTTGTCCTCTGACCTCCACAGGCCGACCATGGCAGGCACTTGCCTGCTCTCACAACCACATATGCACACAAGATCTTTTCAAAGTTGTAAACACTGGTCTTCCAATCAAAATATCAGCAGAGAGCATTACTATACGGCCGCCACCGCCAACAATAATGATGACAACAACAATAACAATAATAAGAAGAGGGTAAGCCGGGCGGTGGTGGCACACGCCTTTAATCCCAGCACTCGGGAGGCAGAGGCAGGCGGATCTCTGTGAGTTCGAGGCCAGCCTGGTCTACAAGAGCCAGTTCCAGGACAGGAACCAAAAAGCTACGGAGAAACCCTGTCTTGAAAAATCCCAAAAACAAAACAAAACCCAAAAAAACAAAAAAAAAAACCCCAAAACAAGAAGAGGGTAAAAGTCAAAACCCAGACCTCAGCCTTCTGTTTGCTCCAAGAGAAGTGGCCACGCACGCAGGCAAACCCTGTGATCAGGCTCCTGGGGAGATCATTAGGGATTCCAGGTGGCGACAAGGGACCTGAAAGTCTTCCTTATTGTTCACTGGGGTCACACAACCCCAAGTGGTAGCAGTACTGAGGGTTCTGGAGGCTGACCGGAGGGCGCCTGTCAGGGCTGCTATGGCTACAGGTATTGCCAGAGGGGCCCACAGAGTTCTTGTCTATGTTTAAAGATGTGCTTATATTTTATGTGTACATGTGAGTACTTGAATGTGTGTGTGCGTGCCACGGATACCTGGAGCTTTCAGAAGCTGGAAGAGGATGCTGGATCTCCTAGAGCAGGGTCCTCAACCTTCCTAACGCTGTGACCCTTTAATACAGTTCCTCATGCAGTGACCCCCATAAAACTATTTCATTGCTACTTCACAACTGTCATTTTGCTACTGTTATGAATTGTAGCGTAAATATCTGATACGCAGGATGGTTTTCGGTGTTCCCTGTGAAAGGGCCGTTCGACTCCCCCAAAGGGGTCGTAACCCAGAGGTTAAGAACAATTGCCCTAGAACCAGAGTTACAAGTGGTTGTGAGCTGCATGATATGGGCACTGGGAGCTGAATCTGGGTCTTCTGCGGGAGCAGCAAATGCTTTTGAGCCTCTCCTTTTGCTTTTAATAGCGGCAGCGGGTGGGCTATGGGTAAGGGCAGAAGCTGAAAACATTCATTTGCCCCTAACAAGACCACAGGCAGGCACATCTTTCCTCATTCGGGAACAGGAGACCTATTGCCTAGGTGCCGCAAGTGGAAATAGTGAAGTCAGGACTTAAGTTCCTGTCTCCCAGCTATGGGACTGTGGGAAAAAGATCCTCAGGTGGTCATTTCTCCTGGATGCCAAGAGTGACCAATAGGTGGCGGCAGAGCCCTGCAGGAACAAAGGCTTGCGATTTCTTTAGGCAAGCAGCTAGACTCTAGCAACTGACTCCTGCACCCTCATACCCGCAGCCTGCAGCCGCCACAGCGGAAGGGTGGATTTAATGGAAACCTGGCTTGTGTCTAAGGCCAAGCTCTCCCCATCCTGGAAGAGGAACCAGGCTTCCCATCCCTCAAACAGGAGTGATGCTGTCCAGTGGTTCAGAATCAAATGGGACGAAGCCCCTGGCTGTGAATGGGTTGGTGGTGATGCATGCACCACGTGAGGGGTGTGTGCTCTGACTGGCAAAGCTGACTCATGAGTGGAGTTTTGAAGGGCAGGCCTTAAAAAACAAAAAACAAGACATGCCCCCTCCCCCCCCAAACCTGAATATTCGGTTTCTCTTGGTAATCTACAGCCCTTTTCTCACAAGTGCCCACGGGAGTTCCAGTTAGCTGCCCCTTCTCACAGGTCCCTGGCCTTGTGGGCAAGAGACTATGGCAGGTCTCCATACCGAAGGCCTGGCCTATTCTGGGGAAGGAAAGCCCTGGGTGGGCTTGCTGCATGCTTGCCCTGTGGCCTGCAGTAGAATCCTGACATACTTCTTTACGTCTCATGACTGCTAGGGACCTGAGCCGAATCAGGGATGGGGCAGACGGGAGGCCCCAGAATCCACCTGCTTCAGGAGCAGAAAGTCTGCAGAGGCCCTGGCAGCTCACATTTCCTTGAGGCTTGTTCATGGGGACCTTAGGGACAGAAATTTGTAGACTGCCAATTCCTCTGCTAGGCCAGCTTTGGTTTGGTTTCTTGGCTTTTATTCAAGGCTGACATAGCTTCCAGGTGGCGAGAAGTCACTGCAATGCCCCTGAGGAGCTGCTCCCTCAGCTCCTGTCACTCCACAGAGAACCAGTCGTGAACAAACGTCTCTGCCAGCACTGCATTCACAGAGGGCATCAAACGCCTCTTAGTGGTAAGTTAGGCTCCTTCCCCCGGGAGCCCTCGATTATCTTCCAAGTAGGAATAATTTACTCCTTCTTCAGAAGTGTCCTCACAGTATGTGAGGGAGCCTCCAGAGAGGCCTGTCACATTCTGCCTGTGTAGCCACTGTCTGTCAACATGTGTGCCTTCTTCTCTGTGTGGGGTATTTGACCTTATGTCCCCTACATTTGGTCCTGAAAACTGATGTGTTTAGCAAGACAGTGAGTGAAAGATAATACCACAGGTTGGGCATTCCTACATCTAAAAAACAAAAAGCAAAAGACTCCCAAAACATGAAAAACTTGAGCACTAACAAGATGTCACAAGTGGAAAATTCCACACATGACCTCATGTGATATAGGTTTTTAATCAAAACATATATTATTAAGAATACTGTATCTTCTCTAAAATTGCTCTTAGACTTATGTGGATGATATGCATATAACTATACATTAACTGCCCCATAAAACATTTTTAATTTGGGATTTCTAGAGCCTGCGGTCCCTTATGATTATGAACAGGACAGTGACACTCTGTCACCAGGGTTGGCATGAGAATCCAAGTCATCTGCTTGAACGCCCATCATTTGGTTCTTTCCAAGGGCATGCCATCTCCCTAGTGGACTTGATAAATGCATACAACTCCCCGGTGGCAGCAATGCTTTCCTGCTTGGCACAGTGTTTCCAGAGGGCTCCTCACTCTGCACCGGAGCCCAGCTGCTTCTGGAGGCCTGTCTTTAACCTTCCGTCCTGAACAGTTCACACCACGGCTCATCTGCCAAGTACTGTTTCACGCTTACCAACACCCTAGGAAACACCCATCAGTGCCATGGGAAGGCGGACTGGGAAGGAGAGGAGGGCCACTTCTTTTCCCTCTAAGTGATACCAAGCGCTTTCTCTCAGGCACATGGTTTGTCAGGCTACCACTGGCCCTGTCTCCCTGCTCTCTCTCTTTCCCACTTGGTCCAAGGTCACCAGTTTCAGAAACAAAGATGTTAGGAGACCCTGTATCTGCTGTGTCCTACTTTCTGAGGCTGGTCTTGTCTCTCTCCATCCTCCACTGTGAGTCTTCTGCTCTGGCTGGTGCCCCTGCCACTGTCTCTTGTTTTTGCCGCTGTCCCAAGCCAGTCCTCCTACTTGTCTTCCCTGCACATCAACTTTTCTCCCTTCACCATCCAACTCAAATGGCTCCTCTAGGGACCTTTTACACATTCAATTCTGCTTCTGAAATTGCTGCATCAAGCTGGATGTGGTGTGCACCTTTAATCCCAGCATTCCGAGGCAGAGGCAGGCAGGGCTCTGGGAATTTGAGGCTAGTCTGGTCTCCACAGTGAGTTTCCGGCCAGCTGGGGTGATATAGCAGGCTCTTGTTACAAAAAAGTTTTTTTTTTTTTTTTTTTTTTTTTTATTCTTGAGAGTCACCTGAAAGATTCCTTAAACATAGATTTTATATCCATTACTTCTGGGGTAAGGATTGGAGATGAGTATTTCTGTATTTTTAACCAGGTCACTAGGTGTTGCCACCTCAGGGACCACACTCTGCTCTGAGAGTCACTGTTGCCTCTTCCATTGCTCTCTGTCTTCCATCTCTGACTCCACAGTGTGTGTGTGCGTGTGTGTGTGTGTGTGTGTGTGTGAGAGAGAGAGAGAGAGAGAGAGAGAGAGAGAGAGAGAGAGAGAGAGAGAGGAGACTGAACTCAGGGACTGCATGTTCGATAACCACCCTTCTACTGAGCTATATCCTCCAACCAAAACTGTAGTTTATTTATTTTTTTGAGGCAGGGTAGCCCTGGCTGTCCTGGAACTCAGCATGTAGACCAGACTGGCCCTGAACTCACAGAGACCCACACATGCTCTTTGGCCTCTGGAGCAATGGAGTTAAAGGCACTTGCTACCATGACCAGCTCACACCATGCTGGCTATAACAAGGGTTTTCAAATTGGGTGTGCAGGAGGAGAACCAGAAGCCTGTGTCTCCCAGCTCTGCAGGGCAGTTCCACCTCTGTGTATTAACAGTCTTAAGTTCAATACAAAGTTTCAGCTGAAGAAAAGATTTAGTTAACTGGAAAAGCTCTTAAGTCCCCAGGGGGAGCATGGCCTCCTCTGTGCGCAGGGATCCCAAGTTAGGCTCTTTCTGCTGTTGGTTTTATGAGACTCATGGGTAATTCAGACAAGCATTGACAGGTCTAGTGGTTATTTAAAAATATGATAAAATATAACCAACTTTTGGTGCGGGATAATTGTCTGCATTCTGTCAATTATGTTTTAAATAAATGCTGATTGGCCAGGCAGGAAGTATAGGTGGGTCAACCAGACAGGAAGTAGAGGCGGGGCAATGAGAACAGGAGAATGCTAGGAAGGAGGAAGCCCATTTCTCACATTCTAGCCCAGACCACCGAGAAGCAAGATGTGAGCTACCCTGCTAAAAGGTACCGAGCCATGTGGCTAACACAGATAAGAATAATGGGTTAATATAAGCTACAAGAGCTAATAAGAAGCCTGAGCTAATGGGCCAATCAGTTTTATAACTTATGGAAATCTCTGTGTTTTTCTTTGGGGCTTGGGGTATTGGGCAGGGTAGAAACCCCAACAAGCAGGCTCCTACATGTTACAAACTTTCAATTCTAATCAGTATTTGGTAGGGGTTTGAGTGTCCATTACCTGCAGTGATGGCGACCAAAAGTAGTTCTTCAGAGTTTGGGCTACTTGCACACAGCTTATAAACTGACTGTCCTCCATCTAAAATGCACACAGCTTATGAACTGACTACCCTCCATCTAAGATCTAACAAGGGAAAGCTTTTGAATATCATCAAGCTTCTGATTCTGGAGAATTATTTCAGATGACGTTGCTCACTTTGTTCTTCACGAAACGGCAAAAACCATGAAGGTGAATGGGCGTGTCTGTGTGAGATGTCACTTAGGTATGGCTGAGGGGCATGAGGAGGCTGAGTGTGGGCTGAAGGTGGCACATGGGGTGACCGCACAGCAGCCATGCAGAAAACAGGGGGTACAGCCTGCAGCTAAGGCGTCCTCCAAAGGTGTGTGTGTGTGTGTGTGTTGCAGGCTTGGTCCAGAGTCTGTGGTGCTCCTGGGAGTTGGTGGAACCTTTAAGAAGTAGGGCCTATGTGAAAAGTCCTCTGCTCATTGAGGGGCACAGCCTGAAGGGAATCATGGGACTTTGGTCCCCTCTTCTCTCTGTGTGTTTCAACTGCCAGGAGGTGAGCAGTTTGCTCCAATACCTGCTTCTGCCATGATGGGAGAGTCGAAGTGGTGAAGCCAAATGACCACAGACTGAAATCTCTTAAAACTGTGAGCCAAGAGAAACCTTCTCTCTTTATAAGCTGATCATCTCTAGTATTTTGTTACAGTTACAGCAAGCTGCCCAACTACAGGGTGACTGTTAAAAAGATTTCAAGTCTAGGAAACACTGTCTTTCAGAATGGTTTGAAAGTCACTTGAACACAGCCCCGTTCCCTGGGTGCTCCTGAATTTCCCTTTCTTGAATTGCATGCTAATCGCCCTGCTTTCTTTCTTAAACTAATAAAAGATTAGGATGACATTTTGAAAAGGGCACCTCATTAAGCAGCCTCATCTCCATTGGAGCACCTGGCTCCACGCACAGTAGCCAGCTGGCCATTTATCTTATGGTAATGAGGTGTCATCCCGCACACGGGCCTGCCTTCAGGTCCTGCTTCTGCCTCCAGCAGCCAGTTTCTCCCTCCCACCTGCCACTCTGTGAGCAGCGAGTGCGCGTCTGTGTGGGACAGCAGCCTCAGAGTCACCCAGGGTCTACTCTGGAGGAACACATCCTGGGGCTGGGCGTGGCGTCTTTTACCTGTACACGGTGGTTGGAGGGGCGCTCGGGCTGTCATACACCAGCCTCACATGGCCCTGGTACAGCTCCAGCGCCAAGGGGTCATTGTCTCCCTTGTAAAGGAGGATGCCGTTGTCCTTGTCAGTGGCCACCTGCGGAGAGCAACCAGGCTGTGTGAGTTAGGACCTACCCCAGTTCCAGCCTCTCCTGACCAACTCCCAGCACCCTCTTCAGGTGGTTGTCTCAGAGCTGAGACCAGATTGGAATTCTGATCCATATCTCTTTCCCCATCTGGCCTGTCTATTCCAGAAGGCGAGAGGTAAGCTTATATTGCCTATGCTAGCTGAGCAAACTGCTTCAACAAGTATACATTGACCATGTACTACGTGCCAAGACGTCAAAGTCACTGACCGCTCAAGGATGCTCAACTCAAGTCCCTTATATAAAAGGGTATCTGCACTGAACCCAAGCACGCCTCCCACGTGATTTCCACCCTCTCTAGATGCATGACAATACCCGACCCAGGGAAAATGCTAGGGTAATAGCTGTAATGCATATGTAGTGGTTATGGTCACGCGCAACCTTTTGAGATTGTGATGTAACCCTATCATCTACAAATTCATGCTGGAGAACTGTGCAACAGATGTATATAAAAAGTTCACAAATAGCCAGGTGGTGGCGGCACACACCTTTAATCCCAGCACTTGGGAGGCAGAGGCAGGTAGAGCTCTGTGAGTTTGGGGCCAGCCTGGTCTATAGAGCAAGTTCCAGGACAGCCAGAACTCTGTTACACAGAAAAAAAAAACCATCTTGAAAAAAATCGCAAATAATAACATCTCATAATGTTTTAAGTAAGTTTCCGGTTTTCTCTGGCTCATATTCATAGCTGTCCTTAGTTCCGCATGGCCTGAGGGCTGGACATTCTTGGCAGGGGCTAAGTGTGTGATATATGTTCAAGACAGTGGCAAATGTCTTTACAATGTTTTTGATCTGTGGCCGGTTGAGTGTGCAGGGATGGAAACCAGGGTGGCTATAACTGCATACTAGGAGGCCCCAACTCTAATCTGCCTCCCCTACTAGTGGTCTATAGTGTGATCCAACAAAATACCTGCTGCCCCTTGAAGCTTGTCTCTCTGCATGGAACATCACATACTAACAGTTGTAAACAAAGGCTAAAGACCAGAGCTTAACTCAGTGTATCCCATGAAGCAGACAGCGATGTGTTCAGAGCCGTCTGGGGATGTTAACGATACCACTATCTGGGCTTCACCCCTGAGCAAGGTAGCGTGAGTCTTTGTGGGCAAACCTAAGTTTAAGAGCTCCGCACAGGTGCTGCTGAGGCACCTGGGTGACGACAGGCACTGGGAGAAGCCATACTGCTGGCCAGCTGGTGGCTGCCTGAGTCTCCACAGGCCTAGGTGTGGAGCACGTACATCTGATAGCTCATTTGGGTGTCTGGAGCACTGGAGGCTGTTCTGGTGGGGAGGAGTGGACGAAGGAAGCAGGAGGGTGGGGGAAGTTAGAGCTCCCTATTTGTGTTAGCATGGACGCCAAAGGTACAGTCCTGCCCACCGGACAGGCTCTGCAGGGAGAGTATCTTCTTTTGTATCCTTTAGGCCTGAGGTCTGGAGCAGACCCTGCTGTGTGTAGGGCTGCAGAGATCGGATCGGTGCTGAGTGAGTGTCTCATGCGGAAGCTCCAGATTAAACCTTGGTGAAGGTTACAGAGCTGGTGCCTGGCAGCACCCAGCAGTGTCTGGGCTACGAATTGGCCTATACTGTCCAGTTGCATCCCTGGGGCTAAGGTGTTGACAAAACCACTTGGCTCATTCTCTTTTCCATTCCCTGAATGTGTCCTGCTTGCCTGAGCCCCTAGGTCTTTGCAAAAGCAGCTCTCTCAGTCAGCTCCTCCCCTGCCTTTGTTCTTTACTGTCAGTCCAGTCCTTAGCCCTCTCCCCAGAATTTAGGGAAAGTGCCACATAAGCTCCAGAACCACTTAGCTCTTCTGGCCTGATTCCTCTCTATAGGCCAGGAGCATGTCCTCCTCTGTGCTCCCTTAGCGCCTGGCTTCTCTTTCTCAGTCATCCTGGTCCTCACTGTCCAGCACAGGAGAGTTGCAGGCATGACTTTCAAAGAATGAACGAGGGGACAACAAGGAGCTGCTGCCGCTGTGAGACTCACCAGGAGGTTTCTTACAGACTGCTCTAGGCTGGCCCAGCCCCTGCAAAGCCAAGCCCTGTCTTTGATGTTCTGGGAGAAGGGGCAGGCTTGCTAGCATATCTGGGAAACCCCAGCTTTACTCTGAGGGGTGCCACACTGGGGTCCTTCCAAGGATGGTAGATGGGAGGGGAAGAACATACCTGCAGGGAGATGTTGGCCTGCGGCCGGACCTTGGCAGAGGCCAGTTCCACGTAGGAGTCCTTGCCTACAAAGTTCACAGTGATGAGCTTCTCGCACCTGGGCCCAGCGAAGCCCGGTGGACAGCGGCAAGTGGGCTCCTGCTGCACCACGATGCACTGCGCCCCGTTCTGACACTCATACTGGTCGCAGGGACTGGTCTGGAGCAGAACCATGGGTGGGGGATGCTCACAGAAGAGCCCACTGGAGAGGGGGCAGGGGAGAGAGGAGACAACCGTAGTTAAGGGGAGAGCTGAAGTGGGAAGTTCCATTTTTGCCTCTAGCTGGAGCGAGTTCTCTACGGTTCAGTTTCTCTTTTTTTTTTCCAGAAGTTGAGTCAGTGCAGGCAAAATAGCCCAGCCCAGTGGGTAAAAGTGGTAGTTGCCAAGCCTGATGACGTGAGTTCAATTCCTGGGACCCACGGTAGAAGACAGAACTGATTGACACAGTTTGTCCTTTGAGAGCTATAAGCATTAACTCTTCTCCCCCTTTCCCTTCCATAACCCACTAAATAAACTCTATTCCCAAACTCTCTCTCTCTGCGTGGCGTATCTGTCTCTCACCTGCTGTGGTCTTCCACCTCCCGACCCATCGAGCATTGAGGCCTTGGATGACCCGCCACTACCCTGCTGAGACCTCAGGTGACCCACTGTGGCCCTTTGTGGGACCTACCTCCCCCCATCTTTAAAAGAATAACAGTCTCTGCTTCCTAGTTTCCTGCAACCCCAAGATTAACCCTTCCAGCCCAGGTTGAGGGGGACCTGGAGCCCAGGCTGCTTTTTCTACATACTCCACAGACATCTAAGCACCCGACCAATGCCTCTTACTTGACATTTCTTCTAGCACCAGCTCCAGAGGTGGACCTCAAACACTCTACTGAATTACCACATTTTTTCATTGTCTTTTATCATTTGGTGCTAGGGACTGGACCTGGCCTCACATGTAAGATGAACATTGAGCTACATCCTCAGCCCTCACGTCTTTTTCTGCCATTAAGATGCTACAAATGTTTTTGGTTTCCAGCCACCCCACAAGCCGGTTGGCATCATCGGTTAGGTAGCATCATGCATGTGTGAATGTGGACTCAAGTCTTAACTTCTACATGGAGTTGCCCTGGTTCGCTGCAGGGAGCCCTGTATCCCTGCCTCCTTCTGCCAGGCTACCTTCCTTCTGAGGTGCTCCTCTGTCATACCTGAAGCCTTGGGGGCAGATGCATGAGTAGCCGTTGACCGCATCCACACACTGGGCTCCGTGGCGGCACTTGTGAGCTGTGCAGTCGTCATTGTCTGTCTCACACAGCTTCCCACTGTAACCAGGGACACATTCACACCTGGAACACAGGCGGAGAGACGCTTGCTCAGGGTCTGCCAACTTGCTGGCAGGTGCTCTGGCGCCTCCCCTTGCCAAACCTCTCTCTCTCTGTGCTCTAGTTCCTGAAGGGTTCACCAGGTGCCTCTGTTACTGGATTCCACTCATGGTGCACTGGCCTTTGCTCTCAGAGTCAAGGTCTATCTGTTGCATGGAGTGGACACGTTTCGTTTTCAGAACTGGGCTGGGGATACGGGAGGCATCACAACAGACCTGGGTCATATCTGGTTCCTTCTCCCTTAGTGTCAGACACCTGGCTGAGCACCTTCAAGGGGCATCTCATCAGATCCCCAGGGGCCTGCAGGGGAGGCCCTATCCAAAGCAGCGTTCAGAAAACACTCAAGCCACCTCCCCAAAGCCACATCGAGTGACAGCTACATTTACTGTGACAGACGCTATCTAGGTGTCCTGGCCGCTCATGGTGGCCTCTCTATCTTGCACATTCTCTCAAAGCCACTGCTCCTTGATAAGCTCTACTACTCTGGAGTGCAGTGAACACTGACTGTCACAGTGTTGTGACGGTGCAGTACAGAGATGAGGACCAAGGATGAAGGCTATGATGGCATTTGTACCACCTTCGCCTTTGTTTCACGGCTTGTTCAGAGAGGCCAACTGGTCCAGCCTTCCCCAGAGAGCAGAGGGTCCACAGCCCTACCATAATTCTCTAGAACCCAAACTAAGCCTGTATGTAGGCAGACCATGTGTCTGTGGGTCATTTGTTTGAGGTCACACAAAACCGAAATCCCTGCCTAGAAACAGACCTGAGAGTAACTAGGCCTAAGGTAGCCCTACAAACACATATCAACACAGTGTTCACTTGTCTCTCTCCCTCTTGAAAGGCCTGTGTAGCAGCTCAATTCTTCTGGGCAGAGTAAAAAAAAATCAAAATGCCATCTCTTCAAGGCAAAGGAAAGGTGGCACAGGCAGGGAGTGCAGGGCAAGCAAGAGCTCTGAATTCTTAGCTTGCACCCTCAGGACCTGGAAAGAGAGAGAGAGAGAGAGAGAGAGAGAGAGAGAGAGAGACACCTTTTCTCCTCCCTGCCTCTCTGTACTCCTTCCCCTTAGGAACAGACACAGTGGGGCAGAATCCCAGCATCACACCAGAGCTAGGTAAGTGGATGACTAGGAAGGATTCTGAAGGTGCATGGTGGCCCTGTAGAAACGGTTCCAGAATCTGAAGACTGCTGGGTGGACCTGTGTGTGTTCAGATCTGGTGAATTTTACTAGTATCCGATCGGTTCCCCTTTAATGGACTTCACTGGCAAATCCAAAATGTGCAACCTAGTGCCGCATCAGAGCATATTTTAGGGACGTGGTCTGCCAAAGTGTTTTTCTTTCTTTCTTTCTTTCTTTCTTTCTTTCTCTTTCTTTTCTTTCCTTTCTTTCTCTCTCTTTCCTTCCTTCTTTACCTTTCTTCTTCCTTTCTTCCTCTCTCTCCCCCCTCCCTCTCGCTCTCTCTCCTTTCCTTTTCCTTCCTCCCTCCCTCAGGCTTTTTTTTTTTATTTATTTATTTTTATTTATTTATTTTTTTTTTTAGTTTTTCGAGACAGGGTTTCTCTGTAGCTTTGGAGCCTGTCCTGGCACTAGCTCTTGTAGACCAGGTTGGCCTCGAACTCACAGAGATCCGCCTGCCTCTGCCTCCCGAGTGCTGGGATTAAAGGCGTGCGCCACCACCGCCCGGTTTAACATTTTTTTTAAAAAGATAAGGTCTTGTTACAAAGCCAGGTTGGCTTCAAACTCCCTCGGCTGACCTCAAACTCTTGACACTTACATACGGGTCTCTAAGTCCTGGTGTTAAAGTATCTGCCATCAGGGCTAGAGAGATAGTTCACCAGTTAAGAACACTTGCTGCTCTTACAGAGGTCTCAAGTTCAGTTCTCAGAACCCACATCAGGCAGCTCACAAAAACACCTATAACTATCGTTCCAGTAGGATCCGACACCCTCTTCTGGCCTCTGCAAAAATTTCCACACACATGTATATACACATATACAAAATCAAAAAAAAAAAAAGTCACGGGGGGAGACCTAGAGGGATGCCTCATTGGTTAAGAGCACTTGTTGCTTTTGCAGAGCATTCAGGTTTGGTTCTTGGCACCAACATGGAAGTTCTCAACAGTCTACACCTCTGCTCCTAGGGTATCTGATGCTTCCTTCTGGCCTTCTTAGGCCCCAGGCACTGATTGCTATCTTATCCTGTACACAAGAAATAAAAATAAATCTTTAAAAAATGTCTGCCACCAAAACTGGTTCAGCCAGTTTTCTAAAGAAACAAAAAGTCTGATGCATTGAGATTCTGCTTCAGAGCTTTAGCTGCTGGTAAATCTGGGCCTGGAGGAGAGCTGGAAGAGGGTGGGAAGGACAAGATGATCAAGGCACAAGGACGTGCATGAGCATGAGGCTGTCAAAATGAAGCCCATTATTTTGTAAACTAGCTAAAAAAGAGTAAAACCAAAACCAAACCCCAGCCTTGGCAGGCATTTGAGTTTCGTTACTTGGATGCAAAAGAGCCCCAGAGAGCAGCTGAAACAAACAGGCCCTCTGCAAGGCTCAAAAACATCTCATCAACATTTAACAGGATAAAAATCAACCTTTAAAACATGAAGTTCAAGGCAACCGATGAGTAGGGAAGCTACTTCCACTTCTAAAGTCAGTGGTGGAGGCCTGGAGGCTAGAGTATCTACAGACTTCTGTTGGCATGGCCTTCTTAGACGTTAATGAACAAAGAAAACACTTAAGGATTTTGCCATTAAAAAAAAAAAAGCACTGGGCAGTGGTGGTGTACAACTTTAAGCCCAGCACTTGGGAGGCAGAGGTGAGAGGATCTGTGAGTTTGAGGCCAGCCTGGTCTACTGAGTGAGTTCTACTTCAAACACACACACACACACACAGTGCAGCCACAGGGAGTGTGTGTAGGCACTACATTCCGAACACTTTTCCACGAGGTACAGGTTTGAGCACCTCGCTCTGCTTGTCACAGCAGGGACTACATAATCCTTCTCAGATTGCAGAAGCAGCAGGTGGTGCCACTTCAACTCCTTTTGTTTTCAAACATTTTGCTGTATCTTCCAAGTTGATAATGCGATCTAGTGACCGTGGACCAAGGACACCTGGAGTATCTGGGTCTAGCTGAGAAGTCAGACGGATGTGGGTTGATGTGCAGCCCCTCTTCTCTCTTAGCTCCTAGGCAGCTGGGTCTGTGTCACTGGGTTTGGGCTGTGGGGGCCCCAGTTTTTCACTACTGAAAGCATGAGGGGGTTCATGAAACCAGGTACAGCATGGAGTTTTCAGTGTACGCAAGTCAATGGGATCTTTGCTATTTTCAGGGTCTCTGGGCAGATCTGCCTGACATTGAGATCTCATGAAAATGTCTTTAAAGATAAGCGAAGGCCGTCCCAAGCACATCACCCTCTCTCAGTAATGTCGTACTAGGCTGCTGTGGGATAGCAAATGTTTGATGATGGCAGGGGAGGAGACATAATAATAAAATACCTCATTGGGAGAATGGATTATTGTTTAAATGCATTTGAATATAAAAACTACCATTACCGTGTTGGTTTATATAGACTTTCTGAGACACTGTCTCCTAGGAGACATGACATAGAAATAAGAGGACTCAAGGAAAGCTTGGCTAGTGTCTCTTTTCCTGTATTGTCCCAGACTCAAGGGCCCTTGGTTATAGCAGAGGGTGAGGTTTTCAGAACAAACATCAGAGGCTCATGAAAATTCTATGGCAGCTCTAACTCTCGGTGTCTATACCCACCCCTGACCAGTTTTCATGGCCTGGTATGTTCTTTCAAAGTCCATGCCCTCTAAGTCTGCTGTCTGTCCACTAGACCTTGGATGATACTCTTCTCCTCATTTGGTGTGACTAAGGGCTAGTCACTACTCATTCCCCTCCCTGGCACCCCCACAGACCTTTGTCTGATAGTCTGGGCGTCTCTGCTTTGGGACCAAGCGTGAATTTGGCATGTTTCCTATATCCAGGTTGCACTTCACAGAGTTCTGTCCACTTGCAGAACACAGCCTTGTATTTAGGAAACAGAGGCTCTCAGCTGATGTTGGCTCCTGGGGTTGGGAGGAGTCTGGGGGTTGCCCTCAGGTGACCCGCCGCTCCTGAAACTCCTTCCTAGCATATGTCAGAGGGGCATAAGCAGCTGGGTGGATTAGCTCAGGGTGGCATTCAGAACAGCGGGGCCTTCCTTTATCTTGGCAAAGCCAGAGGCCTCACATCTCTTCCAATAGCCCTGGAGATGAACAACAGGCCCAGGGTTTTGCAACAGAAAAGGATAATAGAGATCTGGGGAGGTGGCTCAGGGGGTAAAAGGCTTGCTATGCAAGCCTGAGAACCCAGGTTCAGACCCCCCAGACCTCCCACTAAAGCCAGTCGCGGCACTGCAAACTTCAGGCTTAGAAAGTGATCTTCCTTTAATATTCCACAACAACCTGTGGCCTAAACACATGCCACACACACACACACACACACACACACACACACACACACACACACACACACACACAGAGAGAACGGAAAACAAGACACTATATGGGAAGACACACTCAGGTTCAAGCACTGGGTGGGCTTCTCTGTCTCTTCCTAAATCTACAAATTCTTCATGGGGACCCCTAGTTGGCTCTGCCGCTGGAGATGGAGAATATTCCACCAACGGCAGTAACTGCTGAACCTAGTCAGAACTCCTGGTTCCACCACCTCCCTCCCACAGGTGCAGTCTAGCACACTTTCCGTGGCCATGGGGAAGCAGGGCCATGAAGGTAGCCCGCCACAAGGGCTACACATTGGGTAGGCTAAGCAGACACCTTTCAGACGGTGCATCAACCTTTTATGGTTCCTTCTGTAAATGGTCCCTCCTGTTCAGCTCTGAGAAGAAGAGAGACACTAAGAGAGGAGAAGGAAAAGGGAAGGGGAGAGGAAGAGGGAACATATCCATCTCTTTATCTGTTTCTATCATTAGAAGAATACAGAAAGGAAAAAACTATAAAAGATAAAGGCAACTTGTGGAAATATGACCAGGCCTGGGTCAGATAGAGATGCATATGAGTACAGTGGGGAGGAAGATGGGGTGACAGGCTGTGCAGGGGGAGACAGACACTACCTGACTCAGAACCTCAAACCCCAGCATTGGAGCCAGACTCCTCAGGGCTCCGTGCCAGGACATGAGGCCGGCCGGTCTTACCTGAATCCTTTGTCCAGGGAGATACACTTAGCCTCGTGCTGACAGAGGTTCAGCTCAGGCACACAGTAGTCGATCACCTCATCACACAGCTCCCCTGGAGATCACGGGGAAGAGAAATTAGGTGTCTGGGAGGAATCTGGGGGGTCACCAAGGCCACAAGGTCCCACTTTTCACAGTCGAGACCATAGGTCATGAATACCAGAAGCCCTACTTGGTAATATCATCTCTGCTGGATTCCTGATTCAGTTTCCCTGACTCAGAAATAAAGAAAAAGGAAAAGCAAAAAAGACACCATATGGGAAGACACACTCAGGTACCCGAGTGACAGTGAGGAGGTTCCTGGGGTCTCTCCTGGACACTCAGCACCGTCTGGCTGATTTTCTTGACATTTCTGGAGCCGTTGCAGCTGAAGCCACAGGTCAGACCCTGGCCTAGGCCTATGCTTATGCATATTGATATTTTTCCTATTTGCCATCTATTTATTGGGTATCTTCTACATGCGAGGCACGGTACCAGGTGCTGGGAACACGACACTGACGAGTTTTGTCCTCTCCTGCTGTTTAGTGAGAATAGTCCGCAAACAGGCAGGCAGTTACCACCCACAGGTGTGAATGCCATCATGACAGTGAACTGCAGACACAAAGATGGGGACCCACAGCCTTGTTCAGGGGGCCAGGGGAAGCTTCCTGGAAAAAGTGAACCAGGCATATGATAGCTGCTACAGTCAAGAAAGCCAGTTGAATGTTTCAGAGAAAAAAAATGAAGGAGATTGTAGTTCTGATCTCTGGATATAGTACCTTTGAAGTTCACAGCGCTGCAAAATGCCAAATGCATCCTAAGTCACCAGAGATGGTGAGCGTGGATAAATCTGATAAGCCTGCATCACCTGAAAAATCTGTGTTAGGAATGTAGTTATAGGGAGAGGAGGAAGGACTGTATCACAGAGCAGTGCATGGGTTTAAAGCCAGGATTTTTGTTTTTATTAAAATTTTTATTTGTTTTTATTTTTATTCAGGTGTTTTGCCTGGAATATATGTCTGTGATGACATGCATGCCTGGTACCTGCGGAGGCCAGTAGAGGGCATCAGATCCCACAGGATTGGCATTAGAGACAGTGGTGAGCCCCCATGTGGGTGCTGGGATTTGAACCCAAGTCCTCTGAAGGATTAGCCAAAAGCCTAGGAAAAGATGATCTAAGACAGAAAAACTTCTAACCTTGGAAGCTCTTTTCAGAAGGCCAGGGGTTTGGGGTCAGGAGCAAATAGGAGACTAACAGGGACAAGAAGTATGAAGGTGGTTGGTCAGTGATGGCATGAGACACCACCTCAGAGACTGAGCCCCACCCTGCCCTGAGCTAGACCTGAACTGTACCACTCATATCTGCCCAGGAAGAGGCCTCCTCCCCGTCCTAGTGCCCTGCAGAGACTTGGGGCCATAGACACATGTCTAGGTAGGATGTGGACGCTTCTTACGACAGAGAAGCCACATTGATCCTGTGGTGGTCTGGAAGAAAATAGCTCCCAAAGGGAGTGGTGCTATCCGGAGGTGTGGCCTTGTTGGAAGAAGTGTCACTGTGAGGGTGGGCTTTGAGGTCTCTTTGCCTCAAGCTCCCCTCAGCGTGACAGTCAGTTCACTTTCTGTTGCCTTCTGACCAAGATGTGGCCAGTACCATGTCTGTCGACACTCCAGCAAGCTAACGGCCATGAGGATAATTGACTGGACCTCTTAACTGTAAGGCCCCACCTCAGTTAAATGTTTCCTTTATCATAATGTCTCTTCACAGTAGTAGCAAACCCTAAGACGGCTCCCCCTCAGGTGTAAGCTGCCACACACCTGCAGTAGCCTGGTCACTTGCAGATCAGGCAGGGCTGCCCTGGGCAGAGGGCTCACCTCAGCTCCCTGCCTCCATGCCCATCTGCTTGCTGGGAGTTTTTTTCCCCCCGAGATAGGAAAAAAAAAAGCTCTGTGTAGCTTTAGAGCCTGTCGTGGAACTTGCTCTGTAGGTCAGGTTGGCCTTGAACTCAGAGATCTGCCTGCCTCAGCCTCCCAAGTGCTGGGATTAAAGGCATGTGCCACCACCGCCTGGCATGCTGGGATTTTTTTTTAAAGTCCATCTCTGCTACAGAGCCAATTTGAGCCTCTCTACTTACCCCTTAGTTGCTGGCATCATGATTGTATTTTGGCACTGAGCATAGCAAAGGTTTGATGTTGCACAGGACTCTCTCTTAGGTAGGCAGAAGCCATGCCATAGACTTAATGTCAGAGTTCTGCATATAGTGCATACAGTAAGTGCCCCCAATAATGGTTGCCTGTTGCCAATACCAATTCTTGGTTATCACCACGCTCTCAGCAGAGGGTGAGAGGAAGGGCATATGGATGTTCCCCTGCACATGCTCCCAGTGCAAGGCCTTGTCTGCACCAGGAAGCTTGGAGTGAGTAGAGTGGATGGTCTTTCCCAATGGCCTTGGTTATAGGTTCAAAGTTATCCTTGGGAATCCCTGGCTTTTGAGCTGAGGGCTTGACAGTTAAGTCTTAGGAGGAGCAAAGGGAGTTTCTGTGCTCCTACCTCTGCAGGCACGACAACCTGGACACCCCTTCCCCCCTGCTCTGCTTCACAGAACAGCTGGGCTCCATGGATGAGTACAAGGGAGCCCCCAATAGTACCATCACATTTTCCCTTTGTCTTAGGTTTGCATTTCCAAGTGACATTACTTAGAACACAACATGATCTAGGTCTGTAATGGTGCTGCGGGTGGTGTAAGAAGTCTTGAGGATCAAATACACTGGGAAGAGACACACACAGCACCCCTTAAAGCAGGAATGTTCACAACGCCACCACGTCTCTTAGAGTCACAGCTCCAAGGAGACGGCTATTCTTACATGTAGTGTTTTTCAGATTTTATCATTATTACTGTTTTCTAAAACCACGGAGTTAAATTCTGTGGGTTCATTTTTCAAAGAATTCATGGACGCGTAGTCTGGGATATGTCGCTTCAGCTTGACTTCAGCACAAAGAAGTCTGCTTGCATCAGTTGGTGACATTTTGCTTCCCAAGCAAAAGGAGTATTTAAATATCCTCATGAGGGCTTGTGGATGTAGGAAACAGAGGTGTTGGGTTTTGGTGGTGGGTGGGAAGACATTCCAGAGGAACCCTTCCCATGGGAGCCTTCTGTGTATCCGCCAGCCGGGTAAGTTCTGCGCTGTGGTCTCACAACCCTCCTGCCCCCGACTTTTCCTCCCACGCAAGCTCATGTTTCTCGGTCTGACCTTAAGCCTCTTCTGAGCAGGAACTGGGTTTTGCTCAGTTTTGCATTCCCAGCTCCAAGAAGAGCGCGTGGGGGACAGATTTCCAGAACTAAAACAAAGCCCCAACTGTGACTGCACCTCTCTGCCCAGCCTCAAACATGCGGGGTTCCCAAAGGAAGGGGTGGCCATAAGCGCCGCACAGGCAGGTGGGAGAGCTTCAGGAGTATGTTCCAAAATGGGAGGAGCAGCAGCGGGACAAACAACAGAGAGAGTACTGGCGGGTGGGGCCTCTGTCTCCCTCTTCTTTCCAGGATATCACTAAGAAAACCGTGTTCTCTTAGTGACATCCTCAGCCCCACCCCACCCCACAAACACACCGGCATGAGCGTGTCTCCCTTGACGGTTACCTGTGTAATTAGGTGGACACACGCATGCGTAGTTGTTGATCCCGTCCACACAGGTGGCATTGTTTTCACAGTCGTTGTCCTCACAGTCATCTGGGTTGATCTCACACCGTTGTCCCTCAAAGCCCAGCGGGCAGGAGCAGCTTTAGCGATGTGTGTGCAGAAAGGATGGGATTCCATGGTCAGGGAAGAGGGCAGGGTTGAGAGGAAGGCAGGAAGGGCAGGGGACAGAAAACACAATCATCAGGTCTCTCTGCTGGCTGGAGGTCTCAAACAGCACAGTGGACCCTGAGGCCTTAGAGACCGGACTAGGAAGACACTTAGGAACCTGCCAGGTCCTTATGTCTAGCTACTCATTTCCAGGCAGTGTTCTGGTCTGCTACCTTGCTTTATACCAGCAAAGCCCCTCCACCTCGCCACAGCTGGAAGTGGTTTCCTGGAGATGGCTTAAGTCCGTACAGCTGTATTTGAATCCTCCTTTCCTTTGGCTTCTCTGTGGAGTAGATAGCGAGGAGAGGAAGAGCACTCCCCATAATATTTCATCCTAAGGCAAACTTTCCATATCGAGGGGTAAATTGGGCATCTTGGTCAACGTCACGGCTCTGCAGCTAGGCCTGCAGGGAATGCATTCTGGTCTGGCACTTTCCAGATGTCTGACCCTGTGTATTTATAAGACCTCATGATATTATATATGCAACCAAAACAAGTGGAAGGGGAGACAACTGATGTAGGAGGGTCTTTATCTATCTGTTGCTTTCATTAGTTAATAAAGAAAACGGCTTAGCCTGATAGGTCAGAACATAGGTAGGTGGGGAAGACAGAACAGAATGCTGGGAGAAAGAAAGCAGAGTCAGGAAGACACCACGAGCTCCGGCCCAAGATGGACGTAGGCTAGAATCTTTCTCGGTAAGCCATCATCTCGTGGTGCTCCACAGATTATAAGAAATGGGTTAATCAAGATGCGAGAATTAGCCGATAAGAGGCTAGAACTAACGGGTCAGTCAGTGTTTAAAAGAATACAGTTTCCGTGTTATTATTTCCGGGCTAAGCTAGCTGTGCGGGATGAAAAGTAGGCCTGCTTGCCTCCTCACTACAGACAACACAGAGAAGGCACTCGGTATACTTAGCTCTAAACAAAACCCACCAGAACCATCTCCTCTACTGTCTGCCCTGTCCCACCACCCCAGCCTCTGAGGAGCTGGAGTGGGAGGACTCCTCTCTTGCCAAGACCAAGGACCCTTTGTGAACGCATCTCAAAGGACACCAATCGGCAGGTGCGCTTCTTTCATCCGCCTCTGCTGCAGAACATCTGTTTGAGATTTCCTCCCTGCCCCATCCCTGCCAAACCCTGCTCACAGGAGTGGGCATGTGAGGTTAAATGAGAACACATCAAGACTGGGCAGCAGCGAAGAAGCCACAGGATAGGAAGTGTGGAGGGGTGGGTGGGAGCTAGGGTCTGATGAAGGGATTCTGTGAAGTTCCCTCTTTTTCAGGGCCTAAGTTCGGGTCAAGGAGCTGTGGTCATCCCCGGAAATGGCTCAGGCTTTAGACCTGAAGTCCAGGCCTCTATTCCGAGACTGCTCTGATTTTGGATATAGATGAAAAAAAGTAAACTAAAGAGAAAACAAATTTCATGGCCCCAGAATCCTACTTTATCCATCTCCTTACAACCTGAAAACCGTATCATCTTTTCTGCAACAGTCCAAGGACGTTTGAGGGTTGAGCTAATGAATAACAGAGCAAAATGATCCTTATTCCCCTTCCTGTTATAGACCCAGGGTATCATGAAAAGGGCCAGTTCTTTACAGTCACACAGAGGCAGGTACTCCACGATCCTAAACAAGCAGTAACTGTTATTCGTAGATGTTGTAATGGTCGGAGGGAGGGTGCGGGCACATCAAAGTCTCTCCTGTCCTTATCAGGTACCTTGAAGGGCTTCTTCAAGCTGAACCTTTTTACACAGCGAATTGTGACCCCATATGGACTCCTATAACTGAACGTAGGGATTGTGAAAATTCTGGCAACAGCGAAAGGTTCCTGAGCGAACACGGTCCAAAATTTAATTAAAAATCAAATGCATAATGAATCCCAGGTGTTTGTGGCAGCGCTGGCTGGTGCCGCCTCACGTGACGTCTCTGCGGCTTTGCTTCTGAGCATGCGCGTGCACTCTGCCCTGCGCATGCTGTCACACCATGGTGCTGCAAACACCTCTGCTCAGACGGGAGACTCCTGTGTGCAAGGAACTGCAGTGTTTTAACTGCACACATGCAGTCTGAGTGCAGAAAATGTGGCTATTAATGCGATTTTAAAACTGAAATAGTTAAGGATTTAAAAAAAATATTTCCCTATCTCCACCCCTCATCAATTTGGTGTATCTCTGGATTGGATTGGATTAGAATGTGACCCCCATGACTCAGGGGGGTCACAGGCTTAAGGTGGGAACCTTTTTACTAAGTGGACCTGTCTTGAAATGCCTCCGGATACTGATGTCTAGACCCCTAGATTAGAACAACTAGCAAACTTGGGCGGTCAAAGTGCCGAGGATAAGGGATAGTTGAGTATTCAGCCCCAAATAGGACATTGACATCAACTGTCCCTGACGCTCATCAGGGAACATCAAGGAAAGGGAGGTGGAAAGAATAGAAGAGCAGGAGGAAGGCAGGAAGTGTTGCTGTGAAACTGTCCTTCCGGGATGACAGGGCTGTAGAGCTCCCGGACTCCCAGCGGTTCCACAGTTACCCACACACGATCTGCACAAGAGCAGGCCGGTCATCGTCCCAGCACGGGTGGGAGAGGGTACAGTCCTACCTGTCCTACCTGAGGAGCTATGGGCGAATGATGGCTGCAGGGAGGAGGGTCATTTTTTCTGGGGAATGGCTGTTGGTAGGCTGCCCAGGCCCTGGTGGATGGCCCCACACCCATGCACAGGCAGGTGGTACTAATTGGGCCAAACGGGATTTGAAGGTAGGAAGGCAGAGGTATTAGTAGAGATCTGGGCAGAGTGGGAGAGGGTTATTTGGGTTGGCTGTGATCAAGAGACATTGTACACACATACAAAACTGTCAAGGAAAGAATAATACTCTAAAAATGCCACTGGAGTTGCTGCCGAATGTCATAAAAAGTTGTTAAATGGATTTTGGCTTGGGTTGAGTATAGAATTTCCAACAAATTTCTGAAATAGCCCTAACTATATTTCTGCAATTTTTACTATGTCTTTATGCAAAGTGCCATTCTAAGAATTGGTGATTTTAAAATAAAAGTATCTATCTATTCTAAAAGAACATTGAAGGTGCTCTAAGTCCTACAATCCAAAATGTTTAGCCAACATTTAATCTTATCAGTATACAAATTTGCCCTTGCCTTTAATAAATAGTAAATATATTTTAATAGATATTTAATAATATAATTATTAATAATATATAATATATACCCCAAGGAATTGTTTAAAAATAAATTTAAAATTTTTTATATCCTGGGTATAAAAGTATATAACTTTTTCATAGAATTTACATTAAAATATTTTATGTGTATGGCTGTTTTACTTGTATGTATGTTTGTGTACCATGTGAATGCAGTACCCAGAGACACCTGAAGAGGGTGTTGGACCACTGGAACTGGAGTTGCAGACTGTTGTGAGCTACCATAAGAGTGCTGGGGATCAAACCTAGATCCTCTGCAAGAGTAGCCAGTGTGCATAATCACTGAACCATCTCTCTAGCCCTGACTGTTCATATACTTTTATAGCTAGGGTTGAATAAAAATATTCAGGGCAAAAAGGGGTCATAAGTGGAAATAATTTGAGAGGCCCTGGCCAGGGCAACTCCAGGAGCAGTTAGCTAGCTAGCAGTGAGACTTTGTTCAGATTTTGAGGTCTCATTTTCCTTTTGGTTCTTCTGTATGATTAACCCTGTGGTCTTTTATCTGTCTGTCTATCTATCTGTCTATCTGACCATCTCTATCTATCTATCTATCTATCTATCTATCTATCTATCTATCTATCGCCTACCCATCTATCCATCTATCTACTGGCTTGTTTGTTTTACGATTTTTGCAGAAGTGCTCTGCAGCTGAGCTATACCATCAGCTGGCCCTGGCCTCTGCTCATTTGGCGAGCGGGCAATGCAGCAGGGCACAGTAGCACCTGAGTGGAGAGGGCAGGCGATGCTTCTGGAATTCTGACACTCTGGTGGTGTTTAGAGGACTGTGGTCCTCTAAAAGTGGTAGGCTGAAGTACAAACCCTCTGGACCTCAGATGTGACCTTTGTTGGAAATGGGGCTGAGGGTGAGTTAAAGTCAAAGGAGTCCCTAATCCTTGTAAGAGGACAGCTATGGGGAGACAGGCATAGCCCTGGTGCCCTGTGACGATGGAGAATGAAGCTGGAATGGCGCAGCTATAAGCCAAGGACTGCCCAAGATTTTCCGGTAAAGCAGAATCTAGGATGCCCACTCCCATTGGTTTTAGGAAGAGCTGCGTCTTGTACACAAGTCCTCCAACTGTAGAGCCTGTTCCCATTGCTTTAAGGCTCCCTGGGCAGCTGGGAAGTCCTAGGCACTGACTCCAGGATTGAAGAGGTGCTATGGAGCTATTCTTTATAAACCCCTCCCTACCGTGTCTCTGCCTGTCTGCCTGTCCCAGTGCAATACTGCAGCAGAAGGTGGATCCTCCTGGAAGCACACACAGACATGCCACCCCCGACATCTGCCTCTGCCCCAACCTTTGGCCCCAGTCCCCAAGTCCCGTAGATCTGGACATTATGTCTTTCATAGTTAAGTTTCCAGTTTATATGAAAATTGTCCAAGACCGAGGGCGAAGCGGGACCTTGATGAACAATCACCCTCAGGGAACCTGCCCCCAAAACAGGACCCTGTCCCAGGCCCGAGGGGGGCAGAACCCACTTTCAGCCCTGGACATACACTTCCTGACTGGGGCCACGATGGTCATCTCCTCTTTTCTTGGTGAACAGGAAGTGGGTGGTTTGGCTGACTCAGGCAGGAACAGGAAGAGCGCCTGAGTCCCACTTTTCAGGAGTCATGGTTAGGTGGGGCTGGCTTGGCAGGCGAATGCATGGGCCAGCTGGGTTCTCTGGAGATTTCCTCCCCAGACCACACAGCAGCCTCAGCTGGAGGGCTTTTGATAGTTAATTATGTGCAATTTGAGGTCTGACCAGAGCCTGCCTGGTACCAGGGTCTCATCTTTATTGTGAAGGGGCTGCTGCCCAACCCGCTGTGCTGGGGGAGCCCCTTCCCAGGGATCTGCTTCTGCTGGGGAGACTGCGGGGGGGGGGGACTGCAGCACCTGGGAGCTGGAGGGGGACAGATGGGCCAGAGGCACCACCCCATTCCTAGGAGTTACTGTCTAGCATGAAAGGACTAGAAGCGTGATTAGAAGACCACGCTATGTGACCATTAGCCTTTGTGCCTCAGTTTCCTTCCTGCTCAATGCAGACCGAACTCCCCCTCCCCCAAGAGAGGTATGAAAAGGTTTAGCAGAGACAGTGGACGTGTAGTTGTCACCTGGCACACAGAAGGCAACAGCAGTAGTTCCTGTTATTTGTGACACAGAAAGAGGAGGGACCACCGGGTGGGTGGGTTTCTTGGCCAGGGTCCCATCCTATGATTTTAGCATCATCCGCAGCCTCCCTTGGCTCAGAGAGTGGAGGCTGGCACTTAGATTCGAATCCCTGCACCCGTACTCTGCATCTCTGGGGAGAGTTTATCCTTAGATGCCTCAGTGTAGAGCAGGGATAATGCTTCCCCCACTGACATCATTCCCATACAGGAGTCGGGCCCGGAAACTCTGAGAAGACAGAAGGTCAGGGCTGAGTATTACCTGAACCCATCTTTGTGGCTCTCGCTCAGGTGGCAGGTACCTCCGTGCTGACAGGGGTTCTGGATGCAAGTGTTGATAGGCACAGTGCAGTCCTTGCCCTGAGGAACAGACAGGGGGGAAAAAGTGTCTGGTGAGTGTAGCCTCTGACGACTGCGACGACCCAGGAGACCCCAGGGAATTCCTAGCAGCCTCCGGGATGAAACCAAGATGGAAGTGAGGAGGTCAGTACAAGATAAAGGGAGTCACTGCCTCTGGTGGCTGTTCATGAGAAGGGGAGGGATGTTGAGAGTGCAGAGTTCAGGCTCCAGCAGGACCAATGCCCAGAGCTCACAGGCTTCTCTGTCCTAAACTGTGGGGCATGAGTATGGGTGGGTGGGGGGGGATCCAGGTGAGTTTGGTTTGCAGCTCCTCCTCTTTCTGAATCATGGTGGGCCCAAGCCCTTTAACCTGTGATGGGGTTATTATGAGAACGACACGGGAGATTTCACGGAGGGAGGCACTGTGTATTATGTGACATCCTTGGCACACAGTAGGCATTCTGTAAAAGCTAACGGGTGTATTGCTATGTGTTTCACTGAGGTTTAAATATAATCCGTAACCTGAGCAGGGGGCCTATAGTATAACCTGTAGATCCACGGTCTGTGAGGTGACATCCCGCCCCAGTTCCTCCTTGATTGCTTGGTCTGCAGTAGAGTTTAGGTGCTTGCATTTGTTCCCAAGTCTAAGGCCAAGCCAGGCCAGGCCAGGCCAGGCTTAGAATTGCAATGGCTTGGCATGAGGTAGAGTTCCTCTGGACCAGGTTCCTCTTCAGGGTAGGTATGACTTGAGAAGGAGCCAGTATCTGGCAGGTGGGGATGATCATGCCAGGTAAAAGCAAAGACGAGGACGAAGGCTCTGAGCAGGTGATTCCGAGGCACAGACCTAACATCCCAGGGGTCGTCTTGGCCCCATGGTTCCCGCTTCTCTCTTGGGACTAGGATCCTATACTTCAGACATGGATCTTGTACTTTCTTGAGATTCCCCAAGTTGCCTTTTGCAGGACCTCGTAGCACGGGGCCTGGAGAGGTGTCTACTGCACATATTTCTGAGCCGTGGGTTCAGGGACTTGGGTGCACGCCAGGCCAGGGTGATCATGGGAGCTCTCCCACTGCCACCACCACCTGCTCACCATCTGCCTGAGAAGAGCCTGACCCGTCTTCTCTTGCTGCCAGTGCCTGTGATGGCATGGGACTGGGGCTTCCTGGCTGTGTGGTTACTGCCAACCGAGCTGAGGCATTGGGCCAGGATAGCCTCCACTGGGGGCCCAGATGCATCCTCCCACTCTCCTGCACGCTGGAGCCCCGGGCCCCTCTCCAGTAGCTGGAAGGCATTGTCCTTGTCTGTCTGGTTCTTTATGTGAGTCCATGCCCCACACAGAGGTTTCTCAGAGGGGGAGGGAGAGGAAAAGTGCTCTTTATGGAGCTATCTGGCTTTACCCCTAAGCCGCAGTGACTCAGGGCCCCCATCTGAAAGTCAGCGTCTGGAATAGAAAGTGTGATAGGAATTCTCACTCACGTTATTGAGCACATTTTCCATTCCTGGCCTCATGCTAAGTGTTTTATAGCCACGATCGCATATAATGTCCCCGAGAAGCCTATGAGATCGGTACAATTGTCATTACATTCCCTTTTACAGAGAGGGAAGGCAGACTTGGAAGAGAAGGCAATAGGTCTGAGACTACGCAGCAGTTAGCGAAACAGGCGGCCAACAGATGAACTCAGACAGCCGAGCCCAAATTCAGCACCAGGCCCCTCTATGCCGGACCATTGATTCTCTTCCTCTGAAAACCTGGGCTCTGGAGTGCGGTGGATTGGAGCCAAGTCTAGGCAGCTTGCTAGATGGCCGAAGGAAATGATTAATTCTCTTTGATCTTATTTTTTTTTCCCATGAAATGGGAGTGAGGTGAATGGAGTAAGATTCAAAGTACATGAAAACATCAAACATCTGAGGGCTGACAGGTCATCAGAGGTGGGAAATTCTACTACCTTTGACCACAGGAGATGGGTCATGGTCAAAATGCAGGTATAGTAAAAATCCCTACAAGTACAGGTTATGTGTATATATGAAACAGGCTAATTTCACTCTTGGTCTTGGCTCTATCTTCCAGATATCTTAGTGTGTGTGTGTTTTCACATGCACACAAGTGCCCATGCACACGCGTGTGTGCAAGTGTGCACACAGTATGGGCTACTGTGCATGTGAGGCCAGTGGATAACTTTGTGGAGCTGGTAGCTGGCTCTTTCCTTCCACTATACACAGGCTCTGGAAATCCAACTCAAGCCACTAGGCTTGTGTGGAAAGTACCTTTCTTGTTGAGCTAATGCCATGGCCTGTCTCTTACTGGGACTGAGTCTTGACAGCTTGTCTAGGCTGGCTGGTCAGCAAGCCCTCTGACCATGCCTGTCCCTGACCTCCAGTTCTGAGACGACTCTTGCAGCATGATAATGTCCAGCTTTTTACACGTGCTCTGAGACTCATACACGGATCCACGGTACCCATCAGTATGCATATTTAAGTATTATAAAATCCAGAAACACTTGAAATCTAAGACGCTTCTGGTCTCAAGCATTTCACAGTAGGTAGTAGCTCTCAATCTGTGGGTCACCCATTGGAAATATCAGATATTTGCATTATGATACACGACAGCAACATTACAGTTATGATGTGACAGCAAAAATAACTTTATGGTTGGGGTTCATAAAGGGTCACAGCATTAGGAAGGGTGAGATTACCTGATTTAAGGGATGCTCAGTTTCTACCTGGACTGTGGGGAGTGAACTGCCATTGCAGAATCACAATACCTGCAAGGGACCTCCTGGGTGACGTAGCCCTGTAAATAACAGCAGTGATGACCATGCCTTGGCTCTGAGGCAGGGCTGAGTATGCTCAAAAGTTCAGGGATGCTTGCATGGGTGGTAGTGGTATTGGAGAAAGAAGTATAAAGGGCAGGATAAGAGAACCTCAAAAACGGTACAACGGGCACCCCCTCCCAGCCCTGTCTGTAATCTGACCTGATACTCTAGTAATCTTGCAAGTACCACTTGGCCCAGGCAGACCCCGCCCCCTGAAGGGTGATGAGGTATCCTAATACCACTGGCAGAATCCACTCTAAAGCGTGGTGAGGTGTGCAGGATCTCTTTTAGATCTTTAGGCAGAGCACAGACATCTAGGAGGCATTTCCTGGTGCTTGAAAACACAGTAATTGGGGCTAGAGACGGAGATTTCTGTCGCTTATGTGTCCTTGAAAATAATCACCATTTCGAACGTCTGCCTAATTAGCCCAATTCCATTCTCTCCCAATGCGGCTTGCTCAGATCTCTGGGACTCGGGATGCTCCTCAGTTGTCTTCCGTCTGTCCTCTGGTCCACCTCATCTCCCCTCTCTGACAGGATTGAGGCTACTGGCTTTCTTTAAGAACCTAGGAACAGCTCCCTCATTTTAATCTATGGTGAGAGGGGGCTGGGGAACTGCTCAGAGACCTTGCTACTCGAAGTGTGGTCCTTGGACTGGACAGCCCTGGGGAGCTTGTTAAATATACACCACATCAGGCCTGACCCCAGCTCTGGGGAATCAGAACCTAGATTTTAATAAGATTCTTGGGCACACAAGGGCTTGGGAAGTACCGCTCTGAGGCACCAAACCTATGTGCATGAAGCTAAGTGGTTGGGGTAAAAAAAAAAATCAGTATTTTATTTCCCCAGATCCTGGAATAGTGGCAAGACTGTTAGGTTGTGTGGAATGTCTCTGAACCTGGCGCCAAGGTAGGCAAAGCGCACTCAGGATGTGTTTTTAACCTCGTTACACCTTTGCTGGAGATGGTGACGGTTCCCACTCTCAGGCGGGAGGGCAAGGTAAGAGGAGAGCTGGTTACTAGGGAAGACTAGCAGCCGGGCTTTGCAGGTAGTGGAGCCTGGGAGAGTTCGTTGTATTTACAAATCTTGGCTCATCTCTCAAATGAGGATAAGAACTGATATCTCTAAGATGTGAGATAATGCGCTCCAATGGCTTCATCAAGACCTGGCCTTACAGGGGACCAACGGCAATGGCTTAATGTATCCTTAGTTTCCCAAGGCAATGCGGCAACCTGTGTGAAAAGTCCTTAACACTTTGTTGTGGACCGAAACGCAAATGAAAGCAGCCGCGGCCACAGGCTACTGATGGCCGATCTCCCACGACAGTATGAGGGTGGCCGGCATGCAAAAGGGAAGGTGGCAATGTGATAACTTACCAAGTACTTCCCATACCCCTGGGTGTTACTCTACACATGACTGTGTATCTGTCCCTCACAACCCGTGGGATGCGTTCCAGTGTCCAGAGATGGCTGAAGTGAAGCCACTGGTCACTGATAGACAGCTAGCACACGGCAAAGCTACACTCCTCACGTGCTTCTCTGTGATTCCGGAGCCTGAGACTCCTCCCCCTACACTGAACACACATGCAGAGGTCTCGGCGGATCCATGCCTGAGTGATGCTATTCTCAATCTCCGTTCTGGGGACTCTGTGCTAAATTTAAGGATTCAGGAACAGCTTTAAAAGAAACCCCTGGGTTTTCTTGTTCCAGGCCCATAGGTGGCACTCTGACACTGTCTGCTAGCAGCCAGGGTGGCGCTGAGAAAGCCACCAGTTCCCCAGAAACTGCCTTTCAAGCCTGTTACTGCACATGCACGGTTCCTTGAGGATGCGGACACTGTGTTCCTGTCACTCGGCCTGTGCAGAGGATGCACAAGACGGGCTGTGGGCTGCCCTGGGTTCGTGGTTTGCCCAGTCCATCCAGATGGTACCTGGAAAGTTGGGATCTGGAGTGTCCCATGGAAGAGCACTGAGCCACAGCTTTGCTGATCCCAGCGAGGCACCAAAAGGGGCGTGGCTACTCAGGAACCTCTTCAGGTGAAAGGACTTTGGCTTTGGGACCATAGAGCCTTGAATTTTAATCCCAAGCCTACCGAAGCCTGGTTTTTATATCTGTATAAGGCTTTCTGCATAGGTTTGCTGGGAGAAAGGGTGAACCAAATGCCAAGCAGAGAGCATGGCACATACTCCGTACACATTAGCAGGGAGACGGTGTAACTTGTTCTGGGTTGTGCTGGGTAAGAAGAATGGGGGAGAAGATTGTCTTGGAAGCAGCCTGGATTTCTGGTAGGATGGAAGGGCGATCAGGGAGTCTCAATTCTTTTGTTAGACTTGTCAACTATGAAGGTGGGCTTGCTTGGAAGCCCCCAGGCCATTGAGTCCTCGAGTCCCTCATCCCCTTAGTCCCTGGAATGGCAGTCGGGATGCTGGGTTTAATGGATGCCTTTACTAAAGGACCCTTTACCTCTCTGGGTTGCAGTCTCCCTGTGACTCACCAAGAAAATGCAGAGGTAGCATTTCCTTCTCATCTCAAAACATCCTTGTAAATACTCCACGGGTCCATCAGAGAGGGGCCTTAGCCTTAGCCCATATGCAGGAGAACAGTGACATTGTTGGCTAATGCCACATATGTTATTACCCAGGCTACTCTGAGTAGCATCAGCTGCATGGGGTCTCCCCCTGCAGCCGAGACAAAGGAAGAGCCTGAGCAGGAGTGGCGTGGGCAGAGCCTCCCGTCTTACCTTGTAGCTGTAGGGGCAGGTGCAGCGGTACTGCTCCACAGGATCCTGACTGCACGTGCCGTTGTTCTTGCACGGGCTGGAGAGGCAGGCGTTGCACTTGGCCACGATGTTAATGTCCACTGGCCCTGGGTAGCAAAACCAGAGTGTGAATGGCAGCTTCCCGAGAAGGCTAACTCGCCCCCTCTTCCCCTCTGCTCAGGTCTCCCTCCCATCTCTAGGCCCAGAGGGCAGCTGGCTCTCTCGAGGATGTACATCCAATCTGGCGAGTGTCCCATTAATTCGGCCACTGTCCAGTGAGTAAGAATCACAGTGGGACATCATACAGAGGCACTTCTGCCGTCGAATCAATTACTGTAATTAGTCTGATCCGATTTGGGTGCTAATCTGCAAACAGTGCGCCATAATTAGAACCCTCCTGCGTGTTTTCTATTCCAGGAAGTTCTGGGCACAGCCTCTGTTTTGACCTTCTCCTTTTTTTTTTTTTTGCCCTGGCTAAGTCCTTTCTCATAGAATAGCCAAGGAGGGATGCCAAGGCCAAAGGCACACACAGAGAGTCCTTCCTGCAAGATCTTAGGGCTAATGATGCTATACAGAACGATGTGGAGAGGGACACTGCTTTTTACACCCATGGAAGTTGCAAACATCTCCTATGTGTGTTTGTGTGTGTGTGTGTGTGTGTGTGTGTGTTTAAGGGCTGAAAGGAGGTCATGGTCTCCACACAGAGCTTTGAAAAAAGGGGCTATGTCTACCGCTACAAACACCTCTGAACATGAGCCAGGGATACAGACGTCCTATTTAATGCCAGAACTTTAACTGACCTGGAGCTAATAGTCCTCAACCTGGACATGGGTTGAGATTCACTCTGGTGAGTGATCATAAGGGTCCCAGGGAGCTCTGAGACCGATAGGTATAACTTGGGCTTACATGAGAATGAGCAGAGCCATCTGCCCATGATTGCCTCTAACTAAGGGGGCTCCCAGCCCATGGAGATTTCTCTGGACACACAAGGACAAATCAGAACCAGTCTACATCCCATGCCCAGGCTGTAACTCACACTAGTTTAATCAAAACGGAGATTGTGGGACTGAGAAGCAATGTTATTCTGCAAGAAGTGGGGATCCAACCTGACCTTACATATGCCAGGCAGTGCCATCCAGATACAACCCCTACCCCTGGTTTTTAAAGTTCTTCAGGGGACTCCTGTCCAGATTGAGTGGCAGTGTCCCAGGGCTATCTGAGTCCTTCTAGTATCAGATCAGATGTCTCAAAAGCAGGAAGCAGAAAGATAAAATTGCCTTTAAATCAATGAAATGTTTTTTTCTGGTTTCAGCTGTTACATATGTGGGGCACAGCAAAGTTTGAAAGGGAAAATACAAACTGAACATTAACACTCTAGAAGATGAGCGAAGAGAAATCAACAGACAAATGCTCAACGCAAATGGAAAATAAATTCCGAAACTAATCTTAGGATGCCTCAAAATTAAAGGCAGATAAAATAAAGGAGAGGCCCTGACTATAAAATAAGACAAAAGAAGCTGGTTCTCTAGGTACACAGAGGGCGCTAATGAGAGCCCAACCTGATCATCACCTTTTCGGGAAAGCCATTCTGCAAACTTGTTTGAGGATCACATATTTGAGTCTTTGAAACTTATCTAAGGATATAATATGAAACAGAGAAATAACAGACCTATGTTACTTAGGTTCTGTGCCTGAGATAGGCTGTGGTCTTACAAGTCACATGTGCTTAGATGTTGAAAACATAGCAGACCCTGTGAGGACAGTGATGTGGTAGGCCGGCAGCCCCTACCTTTGCACTGGAACCGGTGGGTGGGAGTGGTGAGCAGGAGTCTGTCCGCCATGGACTCGGGGCTACTGCATCTGGCAATGCCAGGCTCCTTGTATCCAGCCTTCACCCACTCTGACAACCAACGCAGACTGCAGTCACAGTGGAGAGGGTTGGTTCCCAGGGCCCTAGAAGGCAGAAGAGGAAGTTAGGCCCTGCCTGGCCTGGCCCCCCAAACTGTGGCTCTCTCAAAACTCAAGGTTTTGAAACTAAATCAGAGGAGTTTGGTGTGCAGACCAGAAGACATGACCACCAAGCAAAATCAAAGTTTCCTGAGTCTATTTCCAATTCAGTAGGTGCTCCATCCCCACCTAGATGACAGCCCTCTTCGGAGGCTTGGTTCTCATTTCTCTGGAAAATTCTGTCCTTTGCTCTACTCCAATCCTGGCTCTCATTCTGAACCTTGGCCCCCTTCTCATGTAGCTCTCAAGCACAGGGTCTGTTAGAAGACGTGCCCTTCAAAGAAGGTTCTGAGACCCGGCTTTACGAAGTAGCTTCAATCTAGTGAAATTGAAGGTATGGAAGAGAGTGCCACAGTTGAACCCAAATGTCTCCGAAGAGATTGGGAAGAAAACACCATGACTCAATAAAAAAAAAAATCCTATTCTTTAGCATTTCTATTTTGGATTTATAGAATGCATACATGTCACTACTGTAGCCTGTGCACACGACATGAAAATAATTAAAATATTTACAGAGGAGGAATACAATCTTATACACCGAACAACAGAGATGGTACCCAGAAGACAACACTAACTGAGCGTGCTAGCTAGGGGAGGGCTGACCTGGGAGTCAAGGAAACTGAACCCTACCCGGAAGTCTCACTGGCTTGATGGGTAACTTTCAGGTAGTCAACTGTTATTTATCATCTTGATTTCCTTGAGAAGAATAAGGATGGAATACAGAAGCCTTGAGAATACGCCTGTTGGAGTCAAGGCAAACCTGGAGTTGGACTGTGGTTCTGTTACTAGCTGGCTATGTAGCCTCAGAATAAATTTTTAAATTTTTCCCAAGTCTCAAGGTCATCACATAAAAGGCAATAAAGTAAAAAAAAAAAACTAAAGTAAAAAAAGGGGGGGGAGAAATAAAGTGACTTAATGTTCTAGGAAATACATTGTGCTAATCTACATGGGAAGTAGAAAAAGACAAGATTGGGAGCATGGGGATCATGGGAGAGGGCAGAAAGGGAGGGGGAGGAAGGGAAGGGAGCAGAGAAAAATATACAGCTCAATAAAAACAGTAAAAAAATTTAAACTTAAAAAAAAAGAAATACATTCAGCTGGGTGGTGGTGGAGCACGCCTTTAATCCCTAGCACTCAGGAGGCAGAGGCAGGCAGATCTCTGTGAGTTAGAGGCCAGCCTGGTCTACAGAGCAATTTCCAGGACAGGCCCCAAAGCTACAGAGAAACCCTGTCTCGAACCCACCTCCCCCAAAGAAATACATAGGATAATTTATCGAATGTGTTTAGGGTATGGTAAGGGTTCAAACATCACATCATTTGCAAGAATTGATTGAAGGCTGCTGAAACAAGACATTGTGTACAGTTTGAAGATAGTATCTCAAAATAAGCTCCTGTCGGCCTTCTGAATGTCAGGTTTCCTATTTGCAGGTCCAGCCAATTATGGGGTCAAAAATAATTTCTAAAAGTTTCATCTATAACGAACACATATAAACCTAGACTTTAGTTGAGTCCTTATTTTATAACCAATATGGTATAACCATTATTTACAAAGTGTTTACATTGCAGTAGGTATTTTACATAGTCCAGAGACTACGAAGTATCTAGGAGGCTGAGTGCATGCTCCTGTATCTCACTGTACGTAAGTGACTTGAGCATCTGTGGGATCCTGGGACTCCGTGAGCCATTCCCCTGTGCATAGGGTGGGACATCTGCCTAACACGAGGAAATAACACAACGTGACGACACTGTGACACTGGCTGTCACCATCACCATTTTCTGTTTTGAGCCAATATACACCAAGAAAGAGGTTACTTACAGGTGGGAGAGGGACGTCAGGTCATTGAAGGAGCCTTCAGGAACACTGGAAATGTCATTGCCATGGAGGGTTCTGAAGCAAAAGACACAGGTTAGCAAGTGACCCCACTGAACCTGACACACTCACCCAGCCGAGCCGCACGTTTAGGGTCCCCAGAGCCCCACAGCTAGTGATATTAGATGTCATTGCCATTGCTGTGGGGCCATGGACATAGCTCTCTACAGCAGCAGGAGGGGTGGAGGGGCTGAGGGCTTGGGGAGGAAGAGAATGTACTTTCAAACTCTATAAACCTGGGCGAGAATCAGAAACCAGAAACCAGTTCTTTTTGGAAGTAGAGCATCGGTAGGATAAACTACTTCTCTGGCCTCAGATTTTACACCTGAAAAGCCGAGGGCCACATCTACCTAATGGAACCATTTTAGTTTCAAATATGACGTTTTGTGCTTGATTAACTGTGGCTGGTGCCATCTATTCCGGAGCCAGGCTGCTTGCTTTCAGACTCTGTCTCTGCCACTTACCAGCTGTATGGCCTTGAGCAAAATGGCTCATTTTCTCTTGAGCCTCAGTTCCTGATTGTCAAATGAAAATGGCCACAGTCATATTGTCACATGAAGCTCCGGTGCATATGTTAGACTATGTAGAAAGAATCTAGTATTTTCTAAGTGCTAACTGATGAATGACAGGGACAGTGGGGGCCAAGGATATGAGAGAGAGAAAATGATGGTGGGATGATGTGAGATTCCCCTCTGTATGCTGTGAATATGTTTTATTACCATTGGTTATTAAAGGAGCTGTTTCAGCCAGTGGCTTAGTAGAGTAAAAAAAGCCAGGCGGGAAATCCAAACAGAGATATAGAGAGAAAGTAGGTTAAGTCAGACAGACACCATGTAGTTGCCAAAGGAGACAGACACCCTGGAACCTTTACTGGTAAGCCACAGCCTTGAGGTGTTACCCAGATTAATAAAAATGGGTTCATTTAAGATGTAAGAGTTAGCTAGAACTATGCCTAAGCTATTGACCAAAGAGTGCTGCAATTAATATAGTTTCTGTGTTATTATTCGGGTCTGGGAGGCTGGGAAATGAGCGAGCAGTCTCTGTCTACAGCAGAAGGATAAACCAAAACTAAAAATGTATGAAAAAGTCATAAGAGGGGGCTGGAGAGATGGCTCAGTGGTTAAGAGCATTGCCTGCTCTTCCAAAGGTCCTGAGTTCAATTCTCAGCAACCACATGGTGGCTCACAGCCATCTGTAATGGGGTCTGGTGCCCTCTTTTGTCTGCAGGCGTAGACACAGACAGAATATTGTATACATAATAAATAAATAAACAAACAAACAAACAAATAAATAATTTTTTTTAAAAAGTCATAAGAAAACCTCATATTTACTACTTTAAAAAAATAAAGAGTTCAAATGGAGGCACCATGTGAGGGTGGGTAATGGAGTACCCAGAAGCCACAGATTGGTAAGTGAAAATCCCAGGGGGCTATGGTGGGCTGGCTATCCCTAAGAACCCTAAAATAATACAGGTATCTGCAAGAGTGCTCATTGCCCACTAGAATTAGGCGAGAAGACTATTGATGAAGGGGCCACATACTCTGGTCTCAGGGTATAGAGAGATCAAGCTGGAACTGAGCTGGAAGCTTCCTCCCTAGGGGCTTGCTCTCACAGAGTCAGATGGTGCCTTGTAGGCTGCTGGGAGATAATTGTGGACCTTGTGTTCTATAGGGCCGACTGGCCAGGCCACATGTGCTCACTGGCGCAATAGTAACAAGTCAGTTCTGGACGGGGGAGATAGGTAACTGACCACTCTCTGCTTAGAGAGGCTTGGTCTCCACTGGAGTTCAAGTCTGGTATCACCTGGCCAACATCCTGAGGCAGAAAAGGTCATGGGGGAAACCTACTACCTTTCTTTTTTTTTCTAAGTGGACATGATGTTCCCATTAAAGTGCCTTCCAGGTAACTAGGCTTATAGTTTAGTTCAGTGCTGTTGTTAGATCTAGTCAGAGAAACTTCTTTTTGTAGCAGCCAGCGGCAACGGCAGAGACATAACCACCAAAGTGCTGAGAGGAAGTGACTGTTGAGGGCTCAGTCATAAACGGACGTGGGTATGACCCCTTTTAAGGCTTAAGGAAAACTGTGAAACAGAGGGCAGAAAATTCCTAAGAACTGGAGGGATTGGGGGAGTGGTGTGGAAGGCTGACTTGCAGACAAGATACAGCTGACACATTCTTGGCTTCAAAGCAGCTGTGATTACTTGTATGAGACCAGCATAAGCCTGACTGGGCCCATCACCACTCTGTCTAGATGGGCAGGAGGGGCCAATGGGGCTCACCCTCCTTGAGGATGTGTGTGTAGTTAATGGCTGTGAGGAAGGAAGGGTTTATGAGACTCCACTCCTCCCTGGTGATCTATAGGTTGCTGAGAGAGAGAGGGAGAAACATTTTCTATAGCAGTATATCAGTGGGAGGGTACTCAGGCTTCTGTGGAAAAATTCCTCCATTTTAGTGGCTGGAGAGATGGATCAGCGGTTAAGAGCACTGACTGCTCTTCCAGAGAAACCAGGTTTGATTCCCAGCACCCACATGGTGGCTCCCAACTGTCCACCACACATGTGGTGCCTAGACATATAAGGTGAGCAAAACACCAATACACATGAAATGAATGAATAAAAATTTAAAAGTATTTATAAAACACCCTTATTAGGGTTTGAGGTTTAGGGCTTAGGGTTATTCTCCTGTCAGTAGCTCCAAGGAAAGTCATTGTATCACATAAACAATAAAAGTACTGTTAAATTAGAAGGGGGACGAGTTGACGAGGAAGAGGAAGGTGATTCATGAGAGTGGGAAGGAGATGAGAGGAAAATGGGGTTAGGAATATGATTTAAAATACGCTATATACATGTTTGAAAATGTCACAATGAAAACTATTATTATGTGTGATTAATATATGCTAATAAGGACGTAAAAATTTAGATTTCCAGGTCTGAGCTACATCTTCGGGGTCTGGGGTGGGACCCAAAATTCTGAAGGTTCCAACTGCACTGATGCTGTTGATCCTGGGACTACAGTTCACGGGGAAGGGCTAGGGGGTTTCTCCTAGTACTTAGGCAGGGGCTTAGTTTCCCTTCTGTAAAATACCCAGGGCCTTGCACATGCTGAGTGGGCATATTCCCTCTAGACCAGGGGTTCTCAATCTGTGGGTTGTGACCTCCTTGACAAACCTCAATCTCCAAAAATATTTAGATTATAATTCAGAGCAGTAGCAAAATTACGGTTATGAAGTAGCAACGAAATAATTTTACGGCTGGGGGTCACCACCACAGGAGGAACTGTAGTAAAGGGTCCCAGCTTTAGGAAGGATGAGGACCACCATTCTAGAGGATGCTGAAGGCAATCTGCAGATGATAGACTCATCAGAGCAGCGTGAAACTTAGCCATCCCTCGTTATACCCGGGCTGTCTGAACCTTGGGACCTCTGAATGCCTAGGTGCTCATCGTCTGCCTAGAGATGGCAGGCCCTATCTGAGCTCTTGCCGGGTCTGGGCAATCAGTGTCACAAAGACCAGTATGAGGCTCTTGGGAGACCTCAGAGAACTCACAGCCTTTTTTTTTTTTTTTTTTTTTTTTTTTTTTTTTTAAGATAAGAGTTTCTCTCTGTCGCACTTGGCTATCCTGGGACTCGCTTTGTAGATCAGGCTGGCCTCAAACCCAGAGATCCGCCTGCCTCTGACTCGCAGTTTTATGAATTGTGCTTCGTCAAGCTGGCAGCAGCGACAGCATCATGGTCCCTTCTGACCCGTTCCCATCCCCCGCCCTGCTGCTCTTGCTCTCCTTTCTCTCCTGAAGCACAGGAAGGGAATGTCCCTGGGGTTCCCATGTGGACTGTGGCCCCCATCCATCAAAGAGACCCACAGTCACCGCTAAGCTTTTTAGTAACGTTTTGCCACTCAGGGAAGATAACACTCCTGTCTCAGAGGAGACCGAAAACCCAACATCACACCCAAAGTCTGATCTCTGGGTTGACTGTCTCTCCTAAACTCTATTTGTTACCACCCCCCACTTCGAGGTTGCTTAGAGAACTCTACTGCCTACTCTGCCGCCCCTGTCCATCGAAGAGGTGTAAGCTTCAGCCATCTTGCCTCCTGCATCTTTGCATTTTGCGTAGCTCCTGCGTATGCGCGCATGCCCACAGTTCTGAACGCCGTCTCTCCATTATCCATTCATTCCAGCACAGGTGCACACACACCTTTAGGGGGACAGTATGAGCTAGCTCCCCTATAGGGCCAGTGAGAGACAACCCCCGAGCCTCCCACTAAAACTTAGACGTGAGGAGGAGGAGGAGGTTTCATTTTGCAGGCTGTTAAGCCACTAGAGCGAAACCTCCAGCCTGTCAGGATGCTACACAGGTCAGAATGAGGAGATGAATTTGCCCCACCTGTGAGGGAAGCCCATGCATGAAAGAGGGCCGAGGGACAAGACAGCTGCCCTCATCTCGGGCATGCATTCCCTAGTCCCAGAGCCACTGCCTACCCTGAACTGTTCAGGTGTTCAGAGGATATATCCCCCCGCCCCCACTTAGGTAGTTTGAGCTGGTCTCCTCTCCATTGGTCAGGAAGGGCCAATTACAATACTATGTTTTTAATAAGTCAGCCAGCTGTGAGTGTTGGTGCAAAGCCCTTAAGGTCCCAGATGCTGTAGGACCCAGTACATGGTCACTTTGTTCTTGGATTTATTTTGAGGCCCCCTCAAGGCAACACTTATATAAATTAGAAGTCTGTGAGCCCCATGATGCCATTTCTGGACTGGAGCCAAGACATAGTGAACATTGGTAGTATGGTCCCAAGTCCTCTATCCTACTTCACCTTTTAAAAAAAAAAATTAAAAAAAGTTTCATGCAATATATTTTGATGTGTTTTTTTTTTTCCTTTCCCCCAACTCATCCCAGATCCTCCCACCAAGTCCAAATCACAACCCTTTAGTTCTGATGAGAAACTTCTCTGGGTAAGGATGAAAACACACCAATTTTCAATCAGCAATGCCCAAATCTTTGAGGACGAGCTGCAGGAGACTAAA